GTTTTTAAGGATGAAAACCGCAAAGCAAGCAAGCATTGTTACAGAAGCCAATCATAGCAGTTAGAGCAGAACAGTTGGTGATTTGTCCATTTGTGATTGGTCAGATCATGAGGGACGACCAGTGGGTCAGAGTTGATTAACTGTCTTGTTTTGCACAGCTTATTTTTAGGTCACCTAGCTCCTGTGTGGCTTGGTTCTGACATACTTCCCAATCTTGATTAGCATAGTCAGCAGACTTTATCTCTGAGTTTCCTGACATAATTACCTTACTTTAGCACCACAACCTTTCTATTTGTAGAGGGCAACAATGGTTAACATATCAATTGGGTAAGATTTTACAATTCTTTACAGAAGAGAGCATTGATTAACATATCAATCTTTTACCCAGGGGAAAAGGAAGACACACATTTACAGTTACAGGTATTACTGTGATACAATACCAAGTTACAGATATTACTATGATATAAATGAAGCTATTTTTGTGAAGAATGTACAATCTAATACAATCTGATGTAATTAACACAATTTGTGATGGGGCTTCTGGATAGGGAAGACCCAGGATGTCAGGAGCTAGTACCTCAGGCCTTTGTTTTATGGCCTTTAGGAAGTTAAAACTTAACCTAGTTGGATTTGAAGGGAGAAGGGGAGGGGAAGCAGCAGATGGAACGAGCGTCTCTTCATTATAGCCTCTAAAAGTAGCTCAGGGTAAAGTTTTTTTTTTTGGCTGGGCTGCCTCAAGGTCATAGAGACTGGGTTTTTGCCTTGGAGGCACATCAGTCTTTGTCTGTTTCCCTCTGTCTTTGTTCTCCAAATCACTGTTTATCTCCTCATTACCGCTATCAAATGACCTGAGATCTTTCTCTTTGTCAAGTCTCAGTCCCTTCTATTTGTTCAGGTTTACCTTTAAAATTTTTTCCTTGTATTGGGAGCAATGAAACCCAAAATGTGTAATAGTCATGGTACAAAAGAGAGGAAAAGAAAGTGCTCCAAACTATATAACTGCATGTATATTTAAGTGTATAAGATAGAAAATGATATCACAGAGTTTTATTGGATCAATGAACAGAACTGTTTGCAGTATCATTGATGGAATGTCCACTTTACAAGCTTTAATTTTGTGACTTGAACAATTATTTCTAAGATGACAATATGTAATCCATTAACTAGTGATTTCCTACTGTTCATTTTTTTTCTGTAAATCTGCATAACTTGTACCCTTTCCCTTTTTTTTTCTTTTCTCCTTAAATAAAATTTAAAAAAAAATTTTTTTTCCTTGTAATATATTTTTACCCTTCTGAATAGCATTAGCAATTACTGAATCGCTTTGTTCCTGAGATAAAATTTCATCCATTAAGGTCCAGTAAGTAAAGGCCGTTCCTGGAACCTTTTCAGGTCCAAAGAGGTTGCAATAATCTTTAAGCGCTGTGCCAACCTGTTTCCACCATTTGGGATTGATAGTGCCTTGAGTAGGAAACCAAGGGCAAACCTCTTTTATAAAATTAAAATATTGACATAATTGCTTAATTTTAACCTTTACTCCTTGCGCCTTTAAAGCTTTTACTAAATTTTCAACAAAAATCTCATGCTGGATAATTTCTTGTCCCATAATCGCTGTTCACTCACCGAGGTTCAGCGTGGCATGGCAGGCTCCCATGTCGTCAGGCCCTCTGTTTTCTTTTCCTTTTTTCTACTTTGGACCCACGAACAGCATCCCTCACAGCATCCCTCACGAACTCCCCCGTTCTCGAGTCCCACATTGGGGCGCCACTTGTCCCCACCCTCGGGTAACAGAGACACGGAGGGGGAGTGGGGATTGGAAGAGACAAGAGACGTGAAGAATGGAGACAAGACAGTGCTCTGATCAAGTCTCGTTTATTCAAAGAAAGAGTAATGAATATATAGTGTATTGGGGGAGGAGGGAGTTGGGTTCTGAGATGTCAGCAGGTAACTTAGCAACAGTGGTGAGACCGGGGATTATAGGGTAATTCAAATCTCCCACATGCAGGCTCATAAAGGGGGCTGATTAGCATAATCCCTGAATTGGCCAAACCACAGGGATGTGTGACCTAAGGAGAAACAGGCTAGGTGAGGAGAGATAGAAACTTAACTACCAAATGGAAACTTAACTCCTAGAGAACGATAAGGTGGCTGTTGTCTGTTGATATAAGGTGGCAGCAATTACAGGGCTTCCCACAGTCCTCCCCTTCAATGCCACATGGGTCAGCTTTATGAACCTGGGAGTTTTTGGAAGCAATTTTTTGTTGTTGTTGTTGTTAAGGCCATTTTTATTGTAGTAATACATCTAAAAGTTTAGGCAGAAATGAAAAGTACAGAGAACAAAGTAATCCATGTCAATTACAGAAATGCAAAAGTAAGTATGTTTGGTTAATACTTGCTTTCAGTCATCTTTTAAAGGTTAACAGACAATATTTTAAAATAGTAAACTGATCTACTCTAATTTTCTTTTAAATTGGTTCCCTAGTATCCTTCTCCCATTAAATTTGAGATTTTGAGCTTCTTATGATAGATTGAAAAGAACCAGCTGAGAATATCCAGATTCTAATTCTTGGGCCTGGGAGTATTATCCTGTGAAGAAACAGGAACTGTGTAGATGTGGTTAAGTTAAGCTCTTCAGATAGTACCTCAGACTATAGGAGTGGACTCTAAATACAGTCACATGTCTCCTTATATTTGGAAACAATTTGTTGCTTTCTTGTCTTTCTGTCTTTCTTTTTGACTTTGCCTTTTGTGTTGAGGCTTGCAGGTTGGTTATAATGGAAAGCTTTGTTGCTAGTATGGAGTCCTGTTTAGTTAATACCTGCTTTTCAGTGATTCTGTGTGTGCGTGGACAACTATCAGCCTTTGTCTTTATCCCAGGATCTAGCCACCTCTATTTATTTGAGAGGGCAGGCCATTGCATACTTGGCCCAGAAACCAGATATTCAGGCAAGGGCCACAGTATTTTTTAATGACACAAAAGCAATCCAAATATTGGCATCTAGAGTAAACCAATTACTAGCAAAAACTATATATGCCACCTTAGCTATAGTAATAAAGTTAGCAATACTGATAGCATCAAAGAAAAACTGAATATTGACATATCCTAAGAACTCATAATGCACCACCGTTACCCATAGAAGAGAGATCTGTAATTATAGTATAAACACTCAGACAGACCAAATAAGTTCTCACAGTAAATATCTACAAATGGAGCTACTTTGCTTCCACTAACAATGCATCGTTATTTAATAATAATAGCACAGAGTTAACTAGCTAGCTAATGAGTCATAAAAGTTTATGTTATCCTAGCAGAGGTAGAGGGGGTGGGAAACCAGAGAATGAAAAAAAGTAAAATTTGGAAAGTATGTTAGTGGAAGATGAGGAGAGCAAAATGAGATAGGGGCTCCTATGGAGGAGTGAAACTAAAGTATTAGAAAACAATCACAGAAAGGAATAAGAAGTAGAAAAAAGAAAAACGGAACAAAATACAGGAAATTAAAGAAGGATGAGATGAAAGAAAAAAGTTAAAAAGAAAAATAAAGGGAAGAAAAAAGGAGAAAAACCCCAAACCCCAAATAGCTTCTCTTCCCAGGCATTGGCCTTGTCAGTGATATGGTTGGTTGGTTGGTTCTCTCCTCTGCTATTTCATGCCAAGGGGAAGCAAAAGACAGAGCCAGCCTGAGATTGGCAGACGGTCAGAGCAGTTGCTGCTGCTCTGCGCCACTCACAGGTGCCCAGGACTCTGCATTGGTCTGTGCTGGGAGTGGCACATGGCCCCAAGATCTGTTTTATTACCAGGTGACTTATCCTTTCTGGGCAGAGTTTGGAAGCTTTGTCTTTAGAACTGAACAAATGAGAAATTCCAGAATCATCTAGGCCATCAGGCTTAATGGAAGCAAGGTTGAGGCGCAGAATACTAACGGATAGTATTTCCCATCCTTGCTCCCAGAAAACTGGTATTTACACCTATATAGCGGCACCTTGCTGGAGGAGGTTTGGAAATTTATTTGAAATGGCTTCAGAGAAGACTGAAGATGTAGCTCAGTGGCCAACTGCCTGCCTAGCATGCATGAGGCCCTCAGGTTAATCACAGTACTGGAAAGGAAAAAGAAAAACAAAACATGAGCTGGCTGCAGTAAAAATGAAGAGAGTACAGGAATTTCCCATGTAGCATGTATCCCTCACTCAACACGCGTACAGCCCTCATTACCGAAAACCCACTCCAGGGTTGCACATTTGTGACAGTCTGTGACATCTCATTGTCACCCAAAGTCCATGGTTTACATTAGGGTTCACTTTTGGTGTACATTCTGTGGGTTCTGGCCAATATATAATGACATACATGGACTGCATGCAGAATAGTTTCACGGCCCTAAAAATTCCCTGTGCTTCCCTGTTTACCTTTTTCTCCCCACCAGCTCCAGGTTACCATTAATCTTTTTACTATTTTACCTTTTCCCAAAATGTCATGAGGTTGAAATGATACAGTGTATAGTCTTTTTAGATTGGCTCAGTTAACATTTCTTTCCCCTTCTTTTCTTGGCTTGATTGTGTATTTTTTTAGTACTACTGTCCCTAGTACTACTGCCCCTAGTAGTGTACTTTTGGTGTACACTACTAGGTGGTTCATTCACGTACTGAAGGACATACTACCTCTACGTTTTGGCAACTGAATAAGCTACTAACCATCTTTGTGGAGGATCCGCCTCCCTCCCCCCACAGTACTGGGTAATAACCCAAGGCCTTTGCATTGAGCTATATTTCCAAACCTTTTTAAAATTAAAAAAAAATTTTTTTTGAGATAGGGCATTACTAAGTTGCTCAGTCTGGGTTTGAACTATCAGACCCCCTGCCTCAGCTGGAATTATAGGTGTGTACCAACACAGCCTGGTGCTGTCATACTGTGTTCTGTTTTAAATTATATATGAATGAATTTCTGTGATACTGTTCTGAAAAAATCTAACTATGCTTGTTTCTATTTATTATCTTCCATATTCTAGTTCATGAAGCCTGGAGTTGAGAATTCAAGGGACTACCCTGACTTGGCAAAAGAAGCAGGTAACAGAGAAAATTCAAGTCTTCTAACATTCATTGCTTATTGTGTGGTCTGTCCCTATCCACGATTAGGTTAGAGCAGCCTTCAAGCACAGTGAAGCTTAGTCAGTGGGGAAGAACTTAGGCAGAGCGTTGCTTAGGGCACACTGGGAAGGAAAAAGGAGAAAGGGCATGTGTGTGCTTAGCAGCTCCATAGCCAGAATGTACTGTGGTTTATAGTTTATGTGTTGTCCACCTGTTTGGGGTTTTACAGGGATCTGTGGGAGAGAAAGGTGGCATTTTTTTTTCTTTTTTTTTATCGGTATCAGGGATCAAACTCACGACTGCCTGCTTGCAAGGCAGGCACTTACACTGCTGAGCTAAATCCCCAACCCCGCAAGGTGGCATCTTTAAAGTAGACAACTTGATTTTAGTATGTCTTTGGAGTTATGACAGAATTACTGCAATGTCTTCCTTTCCTGGAAAAGGGAGAATCAAATTCAAGAAACATGAAGTCCCTATGTGATGGCTTTTCTCTCTTCATTTCACTGAGCCAAATTAGAGAATTCTTTTTCTGTCACCAGGCTACTGCATGACTAAACGAGATGTTGTACTTTGTTCATTGTTTATTCTGGTGAGTGTAAGCAAAGGACTTGGCTGAACTGGAACTCAAAGAGAGAATGATTGAGTCTTTGTTCTCTTAACATTTGGCATTCTTCAGAGATGCGAGCTTGGGCCTGGCTGCAGCTGCTGTCACCATAGGTGTGAGCTACAGCAGAGAAGCTTCTTTCCATTGTTCTCTTTCTCATGCTCTGTCTTTAAAAATTATTTATTTATTCTTTGTTATCTGTACAGATTTACAGTATATAATGATTATGTTCATGGTGGGGATTTGGCACAGGTGCATACACATTTCAGTTCTTTTTTGTCTTTCTGAGCAGGAGAGCTTCTTTGCACGGCTGAAGTGAATAATGTTAAATAAATAAATCAAGGGGAAGGGAGGGAGTGAGGAAAGAAGGGAGGGAAAGGACATTTAGCCTAAGTTTGAGAGCCTGTGTTAGACACAGTCCCCTCTTGGGGAGCCCCTTTACCTAGTTCCTGCTAGCGTGTTGCCGAGAAATTAAAGAACTCTACTGAGGTTGTTTCTTCGGTGTTCTTGCTTGTTTCCGTGAGTACTCTGTGTTCCCAGTGCGTGCACGTTTGAACTCTGTATTAACTTATTACTCAACTCAGTATTTACATGTCAGTTAATCAGTTTCTTAACCTCTGTGGGGAATCAGTCAGACTGCTTCAAAGCTCAGGGGCATCTAAGGACACCTGAGCTTGTGACCCATTATGTAACCATGAGTTAGCACAGGTAAATGTGCTAACTCATGCGCTGGTTATGACACTGTGTAAGAATGTAAATATGAGGTAACAACCTGTATAAAAATTATACAATGAAGATTCAGGTGGTTCTTGCTCTTGTGCTCCTTTGCTCTGCTCCATGCTGCCTGCTGTTGTAGGGGATGTCTTGCCCATGTGCGTTCCTTATCCTTGGTACCTCACCCGTGAAAATCTCCCTTGGGTCCCCCACTGGACCAACAGCCTTCTACCCCCAAATTAAGATTTATGAGATTTGATTAATTCTGTTGTTTCTCATGGAGCATACTATTCATTTTATGCTTATCCTCTGTGCAGAAATTCTTCTTTTACAGAAATTAACAAGTACCAAGAAAACCTATCTGACTAGGTATGGTGGTGGACACCTATAATCTAGCACTTGGGAGGCTGATGCAGGAAGATTGCCATGAGTTTGAGGTCGGTCTGGGCTACTTTATCAGTTCAAGGCCAGCCTGAACTACAAAGTGAGATCCCCATCTCAAAAAACACAAAGCAAAAAGAAAAAGGAAAACCAGCCTGAACAATTCAGCTTGTTAATACAAATACTATTTTGGAAGTAACAGTAAAAAAAAAACAAGAAATTTTTATGTAAATAAACCTTAAAAACTTAATTTTGGGGGGCTGGGGATTTAGCTCAGTGGCATAAGTGCCTGCCTTGCAAGCCTGCAGTTATGAGTTCTATCCCTGGTACCAAAAAAAAAAAAAAAAAAAAAAAAAAAAAAAAAAAAAACCAAACCAAAAACCAAAACCAAAAAACACTTAATTTTGGGCTGGGTGATGTAGCTCATTCTTATTCTATTCTTACTTACATAGCATGCTTGAGGCCCTGGATTATATCCCTACTACTGCAAAAAAGAGAAAGGGGAAAAAAGGACTCATACAACTCACAAAAAGCACCGTTAAATCACATCTGTGACATTTTGTTGAACATTTTTCTAAGCACAGTTTAGAGAGTTAAACCTCTAAACTATTGTAAATGACTTAAAAAAAATTTTTTTTTTTGGTACTGGAGATAGAACTCATGACCTCGTGCTCGCCAGGCAAGCGCTTATGCCACTGAGCTAAATCCCCAGCCCTGTAAATGATTTTGCACTTCATTCCTGAGGGGTTCATTTGTAGACTGAGGTGCTGAACAGTGAATCCAGAAGCCTCGCCCTCTCCTCTAAACCAGTTTTACAATTCTTGCACCATCTTCTTTCCCCGCAGTTCTAATGCACGGAATGGAGAAGAGTTCCTGTCACTTCCATTATTTTGGAATGTCTGCACTATATACCTTTGTTCAATCTCCTCTTCCTTTCAAGAGAGCTTAGAATGCTTGCACCTAAACCCAGATGACCCACATAGGAATGACAGCAACATACTAAGGAACGGTTTCAGATAGTTAACATCCATGCTTCTTTGTTTTCTCTTTCCTTTAGCATTTTTATTTGATAATTATTTTAATCTGAAAGTTTATTCAGAAAATTTCAACAAATAGTGTATCCTGGGTACTGTTGTAACCAGTGTTTTTCTCTTGGGCTCTTGTCCTGAGGGCAGTGAAAGAATGAAGCCAACAGAAGAGTGGTGGGGAATGGAACCAGGTGTGGTTTATTAGAAAGAACCAAAGAAGAGCTCTCACTAGTCGGGAGGGACCCAGGAAGGGCCAGATCTAGAGGCTTATATGCAGCTTTTGGCAGATGGGACTGGTGGATATGTGACAATGCAGTTGCCATTGTTGCTAGGCTCTTGGTGTGTGGAAAGCTGACCTTTATTACTTTTTTTGTCCTTTGCACTCCAGTTTTTTGAGGCTTGTCACATTTTACTCAGACATTTATCTTTTGTCCCATGTTCCAGTTTCCCAAGGCTCATTTTACCTGGCCTGTAGTTTTTCCAGGTGCTTGCCCTGATCCACATATCATCCTTTCTACCTCCTGGCCTCACTGTGAAGGATTTGAACAGTGTGGTATGCAGTCTCAAGGCCCCTACCACATAGTAGAGGAGACAAGACAAATTCAGATCAACCATGAGGTACAACAGGCTGTTGGTATTTAAAAGAAGGAGCCGAGTAAAGCAAAGTTTTATTGCAAAACAGGTTATGGCTTACAGTGAGCAGTGATGAGTTCTTTGTGGCTCATTCCTTCTTGCTGATATATGAGCGGTGGATGTATGTTATTGGAATATAGAATTATGTAACAGTGAAAACCGTGTTGTGACCCAGATGTAGCCACAGTTAACATCCCTATTTTATTTTTATTTATGTACTTATTTTGTATTTTAAAGAGGATAAAACCAAGGAATATAAAACACTAAAACTAATCAAAACAAACCGGTGTAATTGACGCCTGACTTTAAAACATTATAAAATCAACAATAGTTACCATAATGCTCTTTCCACTCCAAAATAGCTGCAGATACTTTTAGACATAGTAAAAATCAAACAGAACAGAATAGAAATAATAAAAACAAAACAATGAATGCAATAATGGACTTCAAAACAAGACAATAGTAAATTCAAAATGGCTACCATAATATATCTTGCTGTCTTTGAAATAGCTGCTCATGCCACCATATTTAACATAATCAAACAAAACAAAACAGAATAAAACCCAACCTGACAAAACAATGAAAATGATATAGGACTTCAGAACAATACAATAGGGACTCAACAATGGCTACAACCCTCAGAAGGACAGCCCCCCTTAGATGCCACACTGTGTACCACTGTCCTCTGAATTGATGATGGCCCTAGACCTGCAATGTCAGTGAAACACCAAAGCACCACGGGCATCCAATTGCATTTCACCTCCATAGCTATCATCACAGGCTGTGTTTCTTTGGATTGGCTGCTAGTTTATGGGAGTGGGGAGGATTGGTACTTCTTATTTGCCAGCCCGCATGCCAGGAGGGGCTGCGGTCTCACTGTCCCCACTCCTTTGGTGGCTGGCTCATGGCACTGGTTCCCAGGCGTGGCTGGCTTCCTGGTGTGACCATGTTCTCTTCCCCCACAGTCCACCAATGGCGCTGACTCATGGGGAGAGGGTTGGGTCTGGCTGTTCCCACTTGGGCAGTGGCCGGAGCATGGCACTGGTTTACAGGCAGGGCTATCTTTGTATATCTGTATTTTATTTTAGTATGTTTCCTCTGGTTGTACAGGATCATATTCTAAATGTGTTTTTTGTTTTTGTTTTTGTTTTTTTTTGGTGCCAGGGATTGAACTCATGACTCGAGTTTGCCAAGCAGGCACTTATGCCGCTGAGCTTAACCCCCAGCCCCTAAATGTGGTTTTGTATTCTAACTTTAAAAAATGATCTTACTTATCTCTATTTTCAACTCTAGAATTAGGCAACACTTCATCCATAAAAGAAGCATTTCCTTGTATTCCAGTTTTTAAAACTTAATTTTATCATGAGCATTTCCCTGTTACTTAAAATTGTTTGAAAAAAACGTTTTTGTACATATTTTATTTATATTTATGCCTTAATTTTTATTGGAATTTAGGTTCTCAACTTTTTGATATTTTGGAAGTAATTGTAATGAGCATTTTGCTAAACAAATATTTGTTCCTATGATTGGTTAGTTTTGAATACAGAACCTAATGAATGTGAATATTTTGAAGGTTCTTACAAAATTATTTTTCAGACTGTCTCAGAGTCTTACTGGCAGAATGAGAATGTTTTACTTAACACAGTCTCTCCAAATTGTAGACAGGGAGATATATGCATATGGGTGATGGTTTGGGGCTCTCTCTCTCTCTCTCTCTCTGGTGTTGGAGATTGAACCAGGGTCTTGTGCATGCTAGGAAAATGCTGTATGACTGAGCTACACTGCCAGCCCCAACCTCTCTGTCTTTTCCTTTCCTGTTTATGGACATCATTTTCCTCAGTTCTCCCACTGGTCATTTTTGCGCAATTTGGATAGCATCCTTAAAACTCTATGTCATGGTTTATGTCAGTCCCCCACCGCCCCAAGTCTCCTGCAATTGTGGACATGGCTGAATCTAGCTTTTGTGATTGGTTCATTGTCTGGTGCTTGGATTGGTGGTATGAGTGCTACACTCTCCCAGGGGTGGAACCAGCATACAGTGTAATGGTGGGAAGCAGGTGTGTTTCTTCCTCTTGCTGTTTGCACCTATGAATAGCTGCACCCCAGCCGTGCCACCCTGCCTCGCAGCCAGCTGATTATGGACTGAAACCTCCAAAAACTGTAAGAAATAAACTTTTCCTTCCTTCATATTGAGTGTCAGGCATTTTGTCTCAATAACAAGAAAAAAGGACCTAGACACTCCCATTTCTTGTTTCATAAAAAAGATCATCTCTGATTCCTGGCTTTGTAAGAGGAAGATATCAGTTCTACTCCTTTCCTTATCCCCAGCAATGACATCCTGTCTCGTTTTGCCCTGCAGGTGTGTGATGGAACCGCAGGAAAACAAGACAAGCACCTTACCATTGAGTAGCTTTTTTTTTTTTTTTTTTTTTTGTCTTTTTCTTTTTTATCAGTACCAGGGATCGAACTCGTGACTGCCTGCTTGCAAGGCAGGCACTTATGCCGCTGAGCTAAATCCCCAGCCCCTAACCACTGAGTAGCTTTAAGGCACTTAAGGATTTAATGTAACTGCAGTTAGATGTGCAACTGGGACAAAAAATGTTAAGTATTAAAAAGAAGCTGTGGAAAAATGATGCAGTAGCTTAGAGAAAAATGATTGCTTTTCATTTGAATTGAATATAGACGTAGGTAAATATAATCTGAGAAAACTCTGCACTTAATTTTTATTTATCTACAGCAAATACCTAACATACTTTTCTTTTTGTGAAAAAAATAGAACACATTTTCATCACCGAATAATAAGAGAATAAACAATAGTTTATTACACTATTGTTATCTTCAAAGTAATATTCATTACAAGACATAAACCAAAAAGATTCTTACAAGAGAGAACCAAATAACCTACACTTGCTGTTCAATTAATTAAAATAAACTGTTAGTATAAATGAAACTAATTAACATATATATTGCAATAGTTTTAAAACAATGGAATATATAATTTGGAGAAGTATTTGAATCTCTACTTCCTATTTATCTCTTGTATTTTGCTGTTCCTTTGTATATACAAATATATAGAGTTTCTCATAAAAAAGCCTTATGGTATTTGAGCTTGTGTGTCCAACTTAATTAACATTATAACATATTTTCAGGTTCATCTATTTATTCACAATGCTTTAGATTTATCTTTGTGGTTAAAGTACTTTTTGATTAAAAAAACTTTTTGTTTTTATAGGTCAGAAGGCTTTAGCAGATGCTCAGATCCCTTATTCAGCAGTGGAGCATGCATGTGTTAGCTACGTTTTTGGTATGTAGTAAACTGTGTTTTAAAATTATTCCTCTAAACTTAGGTGTGACTCATAAACAGTGCAAAGGTGATTGTCAATTTTAACCTCAAAACTCAAGAGTTCAGAAGTTTATTCTCATCATTCATAGGTTTCCTTTGTGTGTTGACCACGTGTAATTTATTTATTTTTTCCATTATTGTATTATCAAAGATGAGAAAAATTTTAAAAACATTTTTGATCTTTAAAATGAGAAGAATTACCCATAATTCTATTGTGTAAGGATATCTTTAAATTATTAAAGTTATGGTTCAGCAGATAAATTTTGTCTTTGTTGTCTTTAAATTTGTATTGTTGACTTTTGTATCTAACAAAATTTTTCATTAAACATTTTCTAATTAAAAACAAATTTAATCTTAATTTTAATTTAGTTAATTAAAATTAAATTAATTAAATTAATTTTAATTAAAATTTTAAAAAGCCACAAAAAGCACACAAAGAAACAAGTTACCACTAATCCCAGTACACATGCTATTTTCATTTATCGATATATATCTGTTAGACAGTATGTGTGGTTGAATATGTGTGTACACAGAAATTTCTTTTCTTTTTCTTTTCCTTCTATCTTTCTTCTCTTTCTGAGACAAGGTCTCAGTATCATCTCATGAACTTATTTTGTAGCTTGAACTCAAGATCCTCATGTCTCAGGCTACTGAGTACTGGGATAATGCCTGCAGGATTAAAAGATAAGATCCTATTAGACATTTTTATAATCTGTGTTTTTCATTTGCCAAGTCATTAAGTCTTCTGTTATAACAGCATTTTTCATTTGTTTCTTTTATAATTACTTAAATTTTAATGTGATTCAAAGTACAGAACATTATATAGTAGATTACATAGAGGAAAGCCTTTTTTTTATAGATAGGATCTCATTTTGTAGTGCAGGCTGGCCTTGAATTTGCTTGCGCAGCTCAGGCTAGCCTCGAACTCATGGCAGTTCACCTGCCTCAATCTCCTGAGTGCTGGAATTACAGGTGTGTACCACCATACCTAGAAAGATCTTATTCTTATACAATTTGTATAGCAAACTAAAAGCCTAATCCTTACAACTATAGTACTTACCCCAGTTTCTAGTGTATCTTTCCAGAGGTACACTATGCGTGTACAAATAAGTGCATGTAGATATATAATTTCTCCTTATCCTTGGTTTGTTATACATGGTAGTGTAGCATAAGCAGCATTTTGTATATTGATTTTTTTTGCTTAGTTGTTCTTCACAACTTCCAAATTTTATCTTAAAGAGCTTCTTTGGTCTTTTTTTTTTTTTTTTTTTTTTTTTTAGTATACTGTTGAATAAGTATATTATAATTCATTTAACCCATCCTCTTTTAATGGCTATTTAGGATGCAATTTCATTTATAGAATGTAAAATGTTAATTTTTTTTTTTTGGTACCGGGGATCGAACGCATAACCTCACGCTTGCCAGGCAGGTGCTTATGCTGCTGAGCTAAATCCCTGGCCCTGTAAAATGTTTTTATTGTTAAAGACTGAATATTTTCAGGATATAGTGCATGATCTGATGTATGCATACGTCATGTAATGATTATCATGATCAAATTAATTAGCTTATCTCTGACCACCCATGTTATACATTAAATCTCTAAAACTTGTTCATGTTTTAACTGAAAGTTTATATCCTTTGACTAATGTCTCTCTATTTCTCCCACTCCCTTACAATATTTTTAATGATTTTATGGTATTCTTTTTTTGAGGGTCTTCTAATAGTAATAGTAATAGGATATCTTTTTCTTGAGCATTTTAAGTTATTTCTAATTTCTAGTTATTATGAAGATACCATAAATATTAAATGATACTAAAGTTTTGCAGTGTTACTGCAGATGAATCTTATGCATATCTAACATTCATTCCCTTGAGACCTCAAGATACCAAGAGAGTTTTAGAAAGGAAGAGTTCTGTGAAGGGATGCAGAATGCAGGTTTCCAAAAGGACATTCCGAACCTTGCTGTTTCTACTGAAGACTCCTTGATGAATCTGAACTTTTAGATGTTCCATCTTCTCGCTGCTACATTTTATTTTATTTTATTTTTTTGTAGAAGACAGGGGTTAACCCAGGCTCTTGCCATGTATTCCAAGCTTGCCTAGAACTCACTGTATAGCCCAGGCTGGCCTTGAACTTGGGGTGATCTTCCTGCCTCAGCTATCCGAGCCCTAGAATTCTATAGGTGTGCTGGCTTGCTCTAGCATTTCTACTTTGGTGGTTATATTACTGAGGAAAAGGAATGACGTGTTACTCAATGTGGATCATATTTTTTTTTTTGTACTACCTTGGCATACAGGATCTTTTAAACTTTTTTGAAGTAGTAAAGTCTTTTTTTGAGACAAGATCATGCTATTGTTCAGGTGGTCTTGAACTTGGACTTAAGTGATCCTTCCCTCAGTTGGGGCTACAGGTGTGTCCCACTGCATCCAGATGAAGTTGTAGAATATATATATGAAAAATAATGGTCTTTAATCAATTGGTGTGCTTTTTAAAATTTATATCAGATTGTCAAGTGTTCGTGCTTTCTTTGTCACATAGCTCTCACCAGACTGACCTGCTTGCTCCTTCTTGTGGTTTGTAAAGAAGTTATATATGTGGTCTTTGATTTTATAAAATTTTGTATTTTCAGAATGAATAATGCTTAGTACTCTGTGTGTTTTTGGGTAAGTTGTCAACAGTGAATTTACTGTCCTGCTCATATTGGGCGCTGGGCATAGGCTCCCGGATTCCTATGTTGTAGGTATTAATTTTTTATTTGTTTTTCCTTGTAGGTGACTCTACCTCTGGGCAGAGAGCTATCTATCACAGTTTGGGACTGACTGGAATTCCTATAATCAATGTCAACAATAACTGCTCTTCTGGTTCTACTGCTTTGTTTATGGCCCGGCAGCTGATTCGGGGAGGTGAGAAATGCTCATTTTTCTAGTGTACTTCAATAGATGTGGGGTTATTGCCACTTTTCATCATTTCTCCATATTATCATTAGAGAGTCTGCTTTCTAATGTATTTCTTTTTTAAAAAAGCTTTATTTTTACCTGGGTGTGGTGGCACATGCTTGTAATTTTAATACTCTGGAATGATAAGGCAGGAGTATCTCAAATTCAAACCCATCTTGGGCAGCAACTTAGACTCTGTCTTTAATGACTAAGTAGATAAATTGGTAGCTGGATGGATGGAGGATATGGCTCAGTGTGTAGGCCCTGGGTTCAAACACCAGTATGTCAGAGAAAAAAAAGTTTATTGAGATATAATTCAAATACTATGAAATTTATCTTTTCAAGTTATATAATTTAGTGTTTTTTAAAATTATATTCATAGAATTGTACAACTATCATCATCTGATTATAGAACTCTTTTCTCACCCACAAAGAAACCCTGTTCTGACCAGCTGTCACTATTCTCCCTATTCCCCAGTCTCCCGCAGTCACTAATCTTTCTGTTTCTATGAATTTTTGTATTCTGAACATTTCTATGAACTGAAACATACAATGCATGGCATTTTGTGACTTCTTTCACTTGCGTTGTATGGTAGCATTTATCAGCAGTTAATGGACAAATATTCTGTTGTATAGCAAGCCATATTTTCTTTATCTGTTCATCATCGGTGGACATTGCTGTTTCTGTGGGATTTTTTTTTGCTACTATAAATAATGCTGCTGTAAACATTTTTGGACAATTCTTTGTGACCATGTTTTCAGTTGTTTCAGATCTGTATCAGATGCTAAGTTTTTAATATGCTAAGGCCTTTTATTAGGCCATCTCCTTTGTTTCACTGATTTGATCATTGATTACAATTTCATTTTTCAGTGTTTTAATTCTTGGAGTTTTGAGATTTTACAGTTTGACAAAGCTAGTGCCCTTCCTTTCTCTTCACTATTTTTCCTTTCATTTTTTAAACAAAAATTTTGGCAAATTTGTCATGTTTTGCTCTTCAGTTGAACTTTAGCATCACTTATAGATGTTCCCTTCCTCCAAAAACAGTTCCGTTAAGATTTCGATTGGAATCTTTTAAAAAATGTTTTAAAAATCAAAACTTGCTTTTTATATTTGTCTTTTGAAAACATTTCCACATTGATAAAAAATTTTATTAGCATATTGAGAATCAAGGGAAGAATTAAACACCTTGATTTTTCTTCCTCTTGTTTAGAAGCATATAAAAATTTCTCTGTACTTTTCATTGATTGAAAACTTTATAGGATTATAAACTACTTTTGCATTTTATAGAAATTGACATGCTTTTTATTGGTATATTTTAGATATTCATACTGTTAACCTTCATCATAGGAAATTTGTTCCTATTCATGACATATGTATTTAAGTTGAAATATTTATAGTATTTTGTTGGATGTCTGGGAATTTGAATTTTGAAAATAATTATATTTTCCTTTAAGGTTTGGCAAATTGTGCTTTGGCTCTGGGGTTTGAGAAGATGGAGAAGGGATCCATTGGAATAAAAGTAGGTCTCATTTATTATTATTTAATAATTGTTATAATACTATGAGAAGATTTTGCCCATCTGATTACCATAAATAGTCTGTTAGTAAGCAACGTAAAACATAATTTAGCATATTTATTTATTTATTTGCATAGTTATTTAATAAGGTGATTTAACCAAAAGGTAAAAGGTGATACCATCTATGTGTACTTACGTCTGGTGTATCAGAATAGTGAAGAATCTTAGAGATACTTAGTTCAAAGTCTTGATGCTAGGGATTCAAACCCAAGATCTTCACACTGAACTACATCCCCAGACTAATTTTTATTTTAAATTTTGAGACAGGGTCTTGCTAAGTCCCAAAGTGCCTGGGCTAGTCTTGATCCTCTTACTTTAGCCTTCTAGAGTGTTTGGGATTATTATATGTCTGTGCTACCCATGCCTAACTAGTTCAAACTCTTTATTTTACAAATGATAGAAGAGTTTGAATGATTGAATTTGAGATTAGTGCATCTATTTAATTGAAAATCACTCATTTGACAAACTGGAAAGAGTAACACCACTGATTCTAGTAATGGCAAGGCATACTATTTGAGTCAGTTCTTCCTCAGATGCCAAGTGAAATATTTGGACAGAATATGTAAAAGCCCTAAAGGCATTGAAGAATGACAACAGCATAGCAGAACTACTGGTGGGTACCAGAGAATTAATGTTGATATTTGAAGTTTCTCTTGCTTTCAAGGCCTTTGGTGATCAGAAAGCTGTGAGCCTCAGTTTTACTGCTGGCTGGAATGAAGGAGAAAGCAATCGAAGCTCAGGCCCTCCCTCTGTCAGTTTCATACCTGTTCTCCACATTAAGCTAGGACTCTGTGTGTAGAGGTAAACCCTTTGGGTAAGGATGAACTGGAGTACAGCTGTCTACTTTTATGAGATTACAGGGATAATTTGCCTTAGTCCTGAGCAGAAACTAAGGGTGTAAGACCCAGAGATGACCCACAGAGGCAGAAAGATTTACTGTATAACACAACAGCATGTGAGGGCATTGAAATCTCTACTTTAGCCAGCCTCTGCGAGGTAGGGTGGCATCTTGTAGCCCAACGGGCATCATGGCAAATTTTTAGAAAAAGCGTAATTAATGGGGTACATAACACACATGCTTACTTTTCAAAAGTATTGCTATTGATGAATTATTAATTTTAATTTTATGAGCTTTATTATATTAAGCAATGTATATGTAACAGGAAAAGAGAATGTAATAAAATATTAAATTTTCAATATGGAATGAGAGTGTAGAATAAAGATCGACAGTTTCAACAGCAATCATGTACCTACTTACAAGATCTAAAAAATAGCAGCAGAAAGTAATTCCTACGTGAATTCCAATGAAAATTCAAACAAAATTCTACCATCCTGTCTTTGCTTCAGTTATCATACCCAAGGCCATCTTTAACACGGTTCATGCACAGGTCTCACTTACACTGGCAGCATGTGGGCTTAGCTTTCTTCTCATGTTTTGCAACCTATACTTGTCACTTCTTGTTTTTCTCTTTTGTCAGAAATTTCCTATTATAGTATACAGTGTCCACTTAGCAGGAAAATAAAATGTCAGTAAAATAAAATATCAACTATATACTGAGTGTTTAGAATAAAGATCAACTTTTTTTTTTTTTATTGGTCCTGGGGATCGAACTCATGACCGCCCGCTTGCAAGGCAGGCGCTTATGCGCTGAACTGAATCCCCAGCCCCAAATATCAACATTTTCAACATCAACTGTTTACCTGCTAACAAGATCTAAAAAGCAACAGTGGAAATAAATTCCTATGTGAACTACAATGAAAACACATACCAAACTCTACTGTAGAAATCGTCTTTACTTCAGTTATTACACCAGAGGCAGTTTTCAAATACATGAGAACAGTGTGTTCCATACACAAGTATCACACTGATAGCACATGCGTTTTGTATTTCTGTCTTCTTTGGTAGGACCTATCTGACATCGTGTTGGTCTTCCTGTTTCCCTTGGAGTTTCTTGTGATGTTTTATCTGTCCACCAGTGTGCTCTTTGGAGTTCTTTGGGCATATACGTATCATTCTTCCTTTGTTGTAATTGATTATCATTTCCAGTCCAGTCCTCTAAGAAAATTTCTCTGTGATTTTTTTGTGCTTTGTCATTTTCTTTGTAAACTATGAAATTATTTAGCTTCACATATATAGGATGGAGTAAATGCAACTACTGGCCAATATTTTGTGTTTGGAGTAATATCATAGTTGCTTATAACTCAATCAACAGCGTCTACTCTGCCTTTCATTTTGTTGTAAAATGTGAGCCTTCTGGCTTCATTTGTGTTAAAGATTCACTTTCTATCTTTGTTTGTTTATTAGTTTCAAGAGCTAGGCTTGAACTAGTACAGGCTGACTTTGAACTCACAGGATCCTCCTGGGGGGCGTGTACACCATGCCTGGCCTCACTATTAATCATATCCTCATGGTGTAATGTTGACAGTATCATTACTACTTTTGTTTTTCTTTGACATATAGGAGACCAATGTTAAGTCTATCTGAAATCCAAAGATTGTTCTATACATTATTCTATCATGAATTTGCAACATTTTTTTCAGGAATCTCAGCTTTGTTCTTGAAATAGTTCCTGTGCTGGGCAGCTGATATGCTTTTGGCAAATACATTAATGGGTAACTGGTAAACCAATTTTCAAATGTGACATTTGCGTTACTTTTTGAAGTATATCTAAGAAGTCCATTCACAAACTCATCCTGTTTATTACTACATGAAGAAACATCTGAGTTCCAAGAACAATTTCCAAATGCATGGTATAAAATGTTTTTATATCTATCATGGCCTTTATTTTTACACTGTATTTGGGAAGTTTACTTGGCGTATATTGCCAAAAAACTTCAACAATCGCAAAATGATGCAAGTTGTTCTTCAATTCAGGTCAAAACAAAACTTGCAACCAGTGGGTGAATAGAAGTCAGATTGTTGGATTTTTTTCAGTCTTTTTTTTTTTTAGTACCAGGAATCAAACTCACAACCTCATGCTTGTCAGGCAGGTATTTATGGTACTGAGATAAATCCTGGCCCTTTTTTCTCCATTCTTGGCAGGTCTGTTTGTGGTCAAAGCATAAGAAATTTGGAAGGAAACCAAGTGTTTTGAGTGTCATTCTAAAAATCCCAACACCATGTTGCTTTTCCACATATTCTTTAGATTGTGATAATTAGAATGATAATGTGCTGCTATGAAGGCTTGCTTTTAGTTTGGATAGTAAAGTGTCATGTATTTTTGAGTATTATTATTGATGCATATTGAATGTTTTCTTGTATTTCATTATTAGTGTATTTCAAACATCTTGTAGCATATTGAACACTACTAACAATTTCAACATTGAATTACAGAATGTGTTGGCATTCTGTGCAGTAGGATCCCTGGCAAGAACCTAATAACATTTTTGACCTTGTTCTAGCACTGGATCAGTCAGGTATACATGACCATTTTGTAGCATTTTGACTAGTCAAATATTTATTTATGTTTCTATTTTCTTCCTCATTTGAATTAAGATCTTCATCCTGCACTTCTCTGTCTGCCATAAATCTGTCTGTCCTATCTGTCATATGTTGCTGGTCTCTTTGGCTTACATGATCTGAGTCATTAGTGGTAGCCAAGTCACTTTCACCTTTACCCTAAAGTTATAAAAGTGGATTTTCATGAGACACTGTACTAAACTGGGCTGATTCTTCAAGAAAAATAAATAGAAAACATTTAATTAAAAAAAGGTTATACACCAGGCATAATGGCTCTCACCTATAATCCCAGCACTGCAGAGGCTGAGGCAGGAGGATTGCTGTGAGTTTGAGGCCAGCCTGAACTCCATAGCAAAACCCTGTCTCAAAAAAAAAATAAATAAAAAACAAAACAAACAAACAAAAAAATGAAATCAAAACCAAAATAAAACCCACAAAATTAACAGCACAGAACATAGGTAAAACTTACCCATTTGCAGTTGACACACATGCATATACCTTGCCATTCATAATGTTGTGTGAACATAAGGATTGCTTTCTATATTCCTCCAGTGCAGCTACTGAGATGCACATTATGCTAAGCACATATTTTCATTTGAAAAGTATGGTATGGGTGTCTATGACCCTGTATGAGAAATTGAAATCAGGGCGGGGAGAGAAAGTTGGCAGGTTTAAATTTCAATTGTTTTAGTGAGCTGGTTTGAACCTAGGTTGCAAGTTAAGCTGTTAGGCAGAGCTTCAGGATAATAATTTTGTCTTTTTTTATACTAAAAGATAGTAAAAGATAATAAAAAAATTAAAAAATTAAGAGAGGAATGTTGGTGACAGGGAAAGGAAGATTGGAAAGTGTCTTGCTTGTTCTCTGGTTACTTCCTGCTGTCTGGGGTGCTATCTAGGTTTGTATTTCTTCCCATCACGAGGGATTTGTTGGTGTCTGAGTTTTTCAGTAGAAGGGTGTCATTCACCTGGTTGGGGAAGCTTTTGGAGTGCTGTTTGGATGAAGTACATGACGGTATAGAAAAGGAATGGTCCCACTGGTCCTGGATCTTGATTAGTGTTATAACTCGTGCCCCGGTATGAAATCCAAGGAAACAAGAGACCGAAAATTTAGGTGGCAAAGGCTTTATTTCCAGGCCTGGTGACAAGTCTCTGGGACCAATTTGGAGACTGTGTCCCAGAGACTGAAGGGAGGACTTTAAAAAGAGGCTGGAGAAAAAGGGTGGGGGGAGAAACAAAAAAACCTGCAGAGCCATCAAACTTGTTGACCCAAGTCTGGAAACTGTATTGCTGTCCACTTAGCTCTGACAATCTCGGGAGTTCCTGGTGTTTCTCAAATTACTCCCGTCCTACAGACTGACATTATCTCGGAGTGGCACATCTGCAGCAATATTTGGAGAAGAAAGTGGACAGTTAATTATCCCAGGACAGCTTGTTTTCGCTAGTGGGTGCGAAGGGGTCAAGAGTTACAAGAAGCTGAAACTTAAGTTTTACAAAGATCTGATATCTAACTCATTTGATGCATACAGAACAAAAGGAAAGCACCGATTGGGGTTTGGGCCATAGTATTTCCCGGTAATTTCTTTGAAGCTAAACAGTTCTTAAAATTGGGGTAGGCTCATTTTATGACAGATCATCACTGGGTCGGGAAGAGGTCACCAGAAATCCAAATTCTTTATGGCCTAGAAAGATAGGTGAGGGGAGAGGGAGGCAATAAGGCGCCTTACAGAACAGAAAACGGCGGTTATGTGTCAAGGTCAGGGTAAAGGGTTAAACTCATACGCAAATCTCTCTGCACACAAGCAGGTTACTTTAAACAAGTGTAAATTAATGGGCCATTCTAGTATTCTTTAGCTCTTTAGCGGAGAATAGAGGCGCGTAACAGTGATTAACAACCCTTGTTAGCTTGTTTTAGCACAACTTCTGTAGTTTGTAGAGGGCAACAATGGTTAACATATCAATTAGGTGAGATTCTTGCAATCCTTTACAGAGGAGAGTATTGCTCAACATATCAATTAGGTCACTTAACATATCAGTTAGGGAAAAAGGATAAAAAAACTACATTTAGTAAGCCACATTGCAGGTTTGCTATAATACACATATAATGAAGCTATTTTCTTAAAGTACAACAATTAGGTGTTGTGAAATTTTATTGAGGTTCTCCTGCAGGTCCTGTGATAAGCTTCAGTAGAATATCATAGAACTGGTCTGTCCTCCCACCCTAGAGGGCATCACTGTGGATACTCATGCTATTTGAGTGACTTCCCTTTTTGGGTGGCTGTGGTCTGTGAAGGGGACCGGGAGGGCTGGTTGTTGGAGGCAGTGTTGATATTGGGGAATAGACTAACGCACATGTTCCTGTCCAGTTAGTGAGCAGGCACAGATAGGAATCCTGACTGCCAAGGAAAAAGATTCTTTTTTTTTTTTTGTCTTTTTCCTTTTTATCGGTACCGGGATCGAACTCAAGACGGCCTGCTTGCAAGGCAGGCGCTTATGCCACTGAGCTAAATCTCCAGCCCCTAAGGAAAAAGATTCTTGATTAGAATAGGCAAGTCATAAGGTATAGGGATAAAAGGTGTTGGAAAGTGTAGGTTCCCTAACTAGAAATGTAGTGCACATCTGTAATCCCAGCACTGCAACACATGGGAGGCTGAGGCAGGAGGATCACTGCAAGTTTGAGGCGAGGCCAGTGAATTTAAGGCCAGTCTCAATTGCATGGTGAGATCCTGTCTCAAAAAGACAAAACAAAACAAAAAAACCCCAAAATATAGGTTCCCTGAATGAAGGACTTGGCTCTCATTCCACCAAGATGGAACCAGCCAAGGAGGCCCCTATTATATATTGAATTAATGTAGTTATTGAAGGGTGAGATGTTAATGAGATCCCATAGAAAAGGTTAGAGGGCTTATCAGTAATTAGATGTGGGGAAAAGACTGACATAGTGGTTGCTCTGGAAAACCAGTTGGGTTGGGTGTACTTTTCAATTTGCCTCAGGTGAGAAAAGGTAAGATAAAACTGATACTCTGAAGGGACTGTTAAGTGTTGGCTTATGGTCTACACAAAGGGAGGCCTATAGAAAAGGGGAGTGTCAAGGGTGATGGGACTAATAATTGGGTGGGTGGTTGTAGAGAATTTAGAGAAGTTAGTGAAATATTTCTGAAAGAGTTTGCCAAGGCTGTTGACTGTGATGTAGCCCTTTGAGAGTAAGGAGTGTAGGAAGTCTAATACAAATACTTATTTTTTAGGATTGTTTCTATTTTCTAATTTTTACAAATTTTATTGTGTCTAGAAAATTACAGTATCATAGCATGTTGTTCATCAGCGTTAATTTTCAAGAACATTACACATTTTCATCTTTAAATTGTAATGAGCTTTTAGAAGGAAGGTCATGGAGACCTCAACAGACTGCCAACTGAAAGCCCAAATTTATTTATTTTAATGAATTAATTATAATTTGTAATTGGTCATTTGTAATGTAATCTTATTAAAATCATTAGCAGCCAAGAATGACTTCAGTAGTGATTCATATACCTGCTGGAAGAATTCTGCAGAAGAAATTTTAATTCTACTCCTAAAAACTACAAACAGATTTTACAGAAAAAGATAAGAAAGAAAATTTCCTAGAAAAGTTTTCTGCCTGGAGTCAAGATAGTAGACCAAGGGATCATCACAATGCCAAATTTTATGCTTGAACTATATCAGGGTATATATCTTGAATGTTACAATTAAGATATTAAGGTCACTATTCATTGATAAATTTGACATACAAATTTCTAAACTATAGGGCTCTTGAATCTTAAGTACAGAGAGAGCAGCAGTGGGCTAGGAGTGTAGCTCAGTGGCAGAGCATTTGTCTAGCATGTTCAAGACTTTGGGTTTTGTCTCTACTAGGGAGAAAGCAAGAGAGAGGCAGAGAAGAGAGAGAGAGAGAGAGACAGACACAGAGAGATCATTTCAGAATCAGGACATCGAGGGAAACTATATCATGTAATGCAGCCTAAGATCCCTTCCTCCACTGTTTCGTTATTTATTGCTCCATAAAGTCACCCCCAAATTTAATGATTTTTAAGACAATGAGGAACTTATTGCTTACAATTTTATAAGTGACTGCACCCAGCTAAACAATTCTTCTATACTATAGGATGCTGGCCAGGGGGTTATCTGCGGGTTCACATGGATTGGAACATCGAAAATGAATACTCATATACCCAATGCCTCATGGGTTCCACTGGGAAGCTAGGCTCCGCTGGGGGGCTGAAATAACTGAATTTTTCTCTTTGTCTCTCTTTTTCTTTGTCGGTCTGTCTCAGAGCTGCCTTCTCTGTGATTGGCCTTTCCTTTTGGCCTTCCTATGACTTCTCTAGACCCTGCAGATTTCTTACATGACATCTCAGGCCACCAAAAGTGAACATGAATAACCTTCTAAGAATTCTTAAGTACCAGGAAAATAGAGTATCAATAAAGTAAAGTATTAAATATTTATTTAATGTTTATAATAAATGTCAACATTTTCTTGTTTTTTTATTTTTTTATTAAAGAAAGACGAAACAAAACCGAAAACGTGCAGAAATCGTATATACTTTCAAAGAAAAGAAATAAACAGTAATAAATCACTAGTTGATATATACATATTGTCCCCCCACAAATAGTTGTTCAAGATACACAAGTGGAACATATAAATGGAAATTCAACCAGGGAGACTGCAAACAGTTCTGTTCAACTATCCAACAAAAACTAAGTAATATGGCTATCAATCCTATACACTTAGACATGTATGCATTTATCCGTATCTTCATTTATGTTGAGGCCTAACAAAACTTACTAGATTAAAATCCTTCTGAACAAAGATTAATAATATTGCTGGATTTCACATCATACACTCTGGAATCAGCACTGAGTACTGTAGTGCCCTTTCTTTCCTTCAAAGTATTTGTGCATTTCATCATGTGTCATAAGATTAGTTCTCATAAACTGTTTATAGGTTTTATGCAAGCATGAGTCTTTTTTTAAATTTTATTTAAGGAGAAAAGAAAAAAAAAAGCAGAGAAAGGGTACAAGTTATACAGATTTACAGAAAAAAAATAAACAGTAGGAAATCAGTAGTTAATGGATTACATATTGTCATCTTAGAAATAATTGTTCAAGTCACAAAATTAAAGTTTGTAAAGTGGACATTCCAACAATGATACTGCAAACAGTTCTGTTCAATGATCCAATAAAACTCTGTGATATCATTTTCTATCTTATACACTTAAATATAGATGCAGTTATATAGTTTAGAGCACTTTCTTTTCCTCTCTTTTGTATCATGACTATTACACATTTTGGGTTTCATTGCTCCCACGGTTCTTATTACTTTTTTGGAATAGAGTAAAACCAAATGTGACATAACGGAACATAATCAGTCAAGTCAAAAGGGTGGACATAATAGATAATGTAAAAACATAATACAAGGTGATCAACAATGGTTACCATAATGCCTCCTGCTATCTCTAATAGAATTGCCTATATCATTAGTTATAATACAATTGAACAAAACAGTAAAGAATAAAACCGACAAAACCAAAACATTGGAGACATTGTAGGTCTTCAAAAGTAGATAAAAGTCAACGAGAATGGGCGTTATAATGAATCTCTTTATCTTCACAGCTGATGCCTAAGCTTTCGAACCTGATACTATCCAGCAAAACAGAATAGGGGAACATCAGTCAAAAACAAGATGGTGAGAGTAATACAGGGCTTTAAATCGAGATAATGGAAAGTCAAAGTGGTTACTATAATATATCCTGCTATTTTTTTTCCTTTAATTAAAAGGATAAAAATAAAAAAGTAAATAATGGAGTGGAGATTGAGATAAAAGAGGGCATAACAGCGAAACAGCGCAGATCAAAACATAACCATTTAAGCAGAATAGTGTTTCACCACCAGATAATCCTGACTTAAAAGTAGTTACCATATTGTCTCTTTCCTTGAAATCCTTGAGTACAACTTCGTATACTGTAGCATTAAGTATATCAAAACAATGTAAAACCATTTAAGAGAATGACAGCATTACAGAGTATTTAGAATCGACTAACAGAAAATGAACAATGGTTTCTGTATAATCTCCTTGTCTTTAAAAGGTTTTTGCTTATACTATCGTACATAATAAAATCCAATAAGATACAACCTATTTAGACGATTTTAGACAGAAGAACAAAAGCTAGATGAGACTTCAAAACAAGATGATACTAAATCAGTATTACCTATTAAGACGTCATTTTCTCCAAAATAGCTGTTCCTATCATCCAATCTTCTCTGCCTCATTTCTGTTGAGCTCTTGTTCTCTGCTCCATTCGTTGTGGCCTCCCCGCCACTATTTCTGAATTCTTTGTATTTTTCTTTTTTTAGAATATCCTGCAATACTCTCTGTAGAGTTGAATTGGTGGTTGCAAATTCCCCCAGTTCCTCTTTATCCTGGAAGCACCTTGTTTTTCCATCAATTTCCAGGGACAGTTGTGCAGGATATATCAATCTTGGCTGGAGGTTATTATCTTTCAAAGCTTGAATTATTTCCCCCCACACTCTTCGTGATTTGATGGTTTGTGCCGAGAAATCTGCTGTAATTCTGATGGGTGTTCCCTTGTAAGTGGTCTGTTTCTTTTCTCTGACAGCTTTTAATATTCTGTTCTTGTATGAGTTTCTGGAATTTTTATTATTATATGCCTGGGTGTTGCTCTGTTTGGGTTGTAGGTAGCTGGTACCTGTATGCCTCATACATCTGAGTATCTTTACCTTTTGCTAAATTAGGAAAATTCTCCTGGATTATTTCTGTGAGTAGCTTTTGTAGTTCACTTGTTTGTGTCCCTACTTCTTCTTTTATGTTCTTAATCCTTAAGTTATGGATCCTCTTATCATCTTCTTGTCTTTGTATTATTGCTGTTTGTTTCTTTGTTATTTTTAAGTTTTTCATTTCATTCTCCCATATTACAAGTCTGCCCTCCAGTTCAGATAGTCTGTCCTTAGTTTCTTTCAAGCTGTTATGCCAGTCTTAGATAGACTTCTTAGTATCTTGGTAGTCCCTTTGAACCTGCTTCACATATTGTGTGCTTTCTGTATTTTCTCCATCAAACAATTCTCTCCTCTTTTTCTGTTCTTCCATTCCACCATCTGTTTTTTCTTGGGTGGTACTTAGCATTTCTCCAACTATTCTGCATACTTCTAGCTTCAGGTCATTGATAACTTTATTCATGAATTGATTCTATGAGGCTCTCTATATGGCACTTTATGTCTATTGGTGCAGTGTCCGCTATTGCCTGTTTCTCAGAATTGGGGGCCAAGGAGCCTTTCTTGTTGCTGCCTTTTCCCATATTCTCTGTTCCTTATATATGCAAGCTTATATAGGAGACCCAGCTTCTCTCCCTGTCAGCCACAGCCTGATCGAATTGTGCCGGTTAGGTGTTCCCGCCCACCACAGCGCACCAGGGAGTTACGGACCAGGCAGCCTATGCGGGGCCCGCCCCTCCCGGCCACTGTCAGGCTCTGGGATCTGGGTTGGGCCAGCCTACCAGGTCCGCCAGCAGCATCACGCAGGCCAGGCACTTTTCACCAATTCCGCCCGAGAGGGGGATATGTGGCTGGAATTGCCACCGCGCCCTGCTCCCGCAGGACTGCCCGGGCCCAGAAAGTCCTCCGCTGGGGTCAGACTGTGGTAGAGTGTCAGTTTCTCTCACTCACCTCACCACAAGCCAGTGCACGCCTCCCTGCCCGTCCTGTTTTCGACTCCGTTCGCAGACCCCCGTTCTCAGAGCTTCCGCGCGTCTCTCTCTCCTTGCCGAGCCACTGTAGGGGCGGGAAACCCAAATCGCGGCTTCTAATGGCGCGGGGTCCAGCCTCCACACTGAGGCTTTTCTGTTCCTGTTTTAGCACCAGGACTGTATTCCAATTTGGTTTCTCTCAGCCCAGTTCGTTCCTGAGTCAGCAGAGCATATCTCCACCTGCTTATATCTCCTTACTCCGCACCCTTCCTGACTTCTGAACCAAGCCTTTCAGAGAGCCTCCGTAGTATCTGTTATCTGTCTGCCATGTTCTCCTGGAAGTCCACAAGCATGAGTCTTAACATGTATTTATATCCTTTCTATATTAGAGGGAGAAACAGAACAAAGCAGGACAGAATTAAACTTTTTCCTATAGACACATAAAACTAAAAAGACATATAAATCTGCTGTATAAGGAGTTCTACCATGGTCACTGTGCTGTTTCTTTTTATCACTCAACAGAATAGGCTAAATCATCAGATAAAGTATATTTGAGCATATCAGTACATAACAGGATTAACAGCAATACAACTTTGTAGATTATGTAGAGCTACAAAAACAGGTAGTAATCAAATCAGAATAGATATTGTGGTGAATCATTGTCATTTTCAGTATAGTTGTCTATACTCCTCAACTTGATACCAATAACCTTAGAGTTTTGAATAAAATCTGTCAATAATAAGCAGCAATCAAACAAATCAGATTTAACGAAATCAATCATGATACAACAGTATAAGTCATACAGGGATCCTGATTGAATTAATAGGAAATTAAATATGATCACTCTGATGTTTTTTTTTTTTTTGAAGACTATTTCTCCCCTTTATTCCCCCAGAATGAACTGTGTATTTTTGGGTCTCCCCAACACTCATGGTTTTGTATGTGGGGGGCACGACCTGCTATTTTCCTAAGTGTTCCTGAACTTTTTTACTCCTGGGCTGCATTTCTAGTTATATTTCTTCATTTATTAAAGCCTGTCTGTTCAACCTATCCATAAATACTGGTCTAGTTACCCCTATTACTTTCTGGTTCCCTATCACATCGAGTTCTGTTTTATCATATTTGATTTTGGTTCATATAACCTTCTTCAGGCTAATTATATTTCCTATAGAGTTTTGGTTCATATAACCTTCTTCAGGCTAATTATATTTCCTATAGAGAGCCTCTTGGCAAACCCTACCTCTTGATCCACTCTGCCTGTGATCCTCTTTTTTTCCTTAAGTTAAGTATGTCTAGGCCATCTCTATTAGAAATTATATCCAACCTTCTTTGCCTCATTTCTGTTGAGCTCTTTTTCTGTCATTAGTTGTCAGTTTGTCTTCTTCATTTCACTTTCTGCTCCATTCATTGTAGCTTCTCTGCCATTATTTCTGGAATTCTGGTACTTTTCTCTTTTAGAATGTCCTGCACTATTCTCTGTAGAGTTGGATTGGTGTTTGCAAATTCCCCCAGTTCCTTTTTATCTTGGAAGCACCTTGTTTCTTCATTAATTTCTAGGAACAGTTGTACAGGATATATCAATCTTGGCTGGGGGTTATTGTCTTTCAAAGCTTGGATTATTCGCCCCATGCTCTTCGAGATTTCATGGTTTGTGCCAAGAAGTCTGCTGTAATTCTGATCGTTATTCCCTTGTAAGTGATCTGTTTCTTGTCTCTGACAGCTTTTAATATTCTGTTCTTATATTGGATTTCTGGAATCTTGATTATTACATGCCTGGGTATAGTTCTGTTTTTTGTCTTTTTCCTTTTCATCAGTCCCGGGGATCGAACTCACAACTGCCTCCTTGCAAGGCAGGCGCTTATGCTGCTGAGCTAAATCTCCAGCCCATTCTGTTTTGATTGTACGTGGCTAGAGTTCTGTATGCCTCATACATCTGAGCATCTTTACCTTTCCTATGTTTGGAAAGTTTTCCTTGATTATTTCTGTGAATAGCCTTTTCAGTTCATTTGTTTGTACCCCTGCTTCTTCATTTACATTCTTTATTCTTAAGTTATATATCCTCTTGTCATTTTCTAGCCTTTGTATTGTTACTGCTTATTTCCTTGTTATTTTTAAAAAGTTTTTCCTTTCATGTTCCCAATTACAAATCTGTCCTCCAGTTCATATAATCTATCTTTAGTATCTTTCAAGCTGTTATGCCAGCTTTCAATAGAGGTTTTAGTTTCCTGGTAATCTCTTTAAACCTGCTTCATGTATTCTATGTTTTCTCTATTTTCTCCATCAAATAATTCTCCCCCCACTTTTTTTTGTTCTTCATTCTACCATCTGTTTTTTCTTGGGAGGTGCTTAGCATTTCTTTAACTATTCTACGTATATCTTGCTTTACTTGGTTAAATACTTCACTTTTGAACTTATCTATGAGATCCCAAAGATATCGCTTCATGTCTGTTGTTGCCATGCCTAATATTGCATGTTTTCTGTCCTCATTCTCCTTTGCATTTACCTTTCCTCGATCAGTGTTCTCAGGATTGGGGACGGAGGACCCTTTGTTGTTGCCTCCTTTTCCCATATTTTTTGTTGTTTCCATACAGGCGTATATAGGAGGCCCAGTTTTTTTCTTTGTTGATTTCAGTTTGTCTGAAGCCTGCTGACTAGGCGTTCCCACCCACTGCAGTATACTAGGAGGTACAGACCCCGGCAACCTATGACGGACCCGCCCCTCTAGGTCAACCTACCGAAGGCTTCACTACGTTAGGATGCACTGCCAGTCGCAGGGACTTGGTTTGGGCTAGCCTATTGGGCATGGCGTCACCCAGGTCAAGTGCTCCCCACCAGTCCCGCTTCAGAGGGGAATATGTGACTGAAGTCACTGCGGTGTCCTGTTCCGGCCAGTCTGCCTGGTCCCAGAATGTCCTCTTTTGGAGCCTCTTTGTCTATGCAAAGGTCTTTATTCCTCTCACTCACCGCAGGTCGATGCAGAGATCCCAGCTAGCTCTGCTCTCATTTCAGTTTGCCGATTCCCTCTCTCAGAGCGTTCACATCTCCAGTGAGTTGGAACCAATTCAGGCGTGGCAGCAACAGCGAATTCAATCCATGAGTTCTGGCCGCGGCACCAAGACTTTAGCTGTTCCAGTCGTAGCACCTGAACTGCATTTCCAGTTGGTTTCTCTCAGCTTATTTCATTCCTGGGTCGGCAGGGTATATTTCTCTCTGTTTAGGATTCCCCACACTGCACCATTCCTGGAATCTAAGCTGGCTATCTCAGGGAGCCTCTGTAGTTGCTGTTATCTATCCGCCATCTTTTTGGTTGCTCCTAAATGTCAACATTTTCAATATCAATTTTTTTGTTCACAAAACCTAAAACGTAACAGTATAAATCCCTATATGAACTACAATGAAAATAAACATAAAGCTGTACAACAAAAATAAACTACTTCAATTTCAGTTATTTTAATTATTACACCCAAAGCAGTCTTCATACTTAAAACAGCATATTTCGTACACAAATATTGCTTACAGTGATAGCACATGTTTTCCTCTCTTTCTTGTGGGACATACTTGTCATCCCACTGGTCTTGCTGTTTTATTAGGAGATTCTTGTGATATTTTACTTGTCTGTTCTCTGGTATGCTCCAGAATTCTTTTGCAGAGTTTTTTTGGCAGATTCTTACTGTTCTTTCTCTGTTGTAATTGGTGTTCCATTCCAAATTTGTCTGTTATAATTTCCAAAATTGAATTGCATTGTTGGCACTCAGTTCAATAGGTTTCACTCCTGGCAAGAATCTCGTAATACCTTCCATGTTCAAACATGAACATTTTATAGTATTTTCACTAGTCAAATATTTATCAAATATTATTGTTTTCTTCCTTACCTGATCAAGGTTTTCATTCTTTACTTCTCTGTCTGTCATTTCTTGCTCTCTGTCATTATTACAACTTCTTTGGCTTCTCTGATCCCTGTTATAAAAATAATCTATAAAAAATTTTGCATCTTGGTTCTGTAAAGTAACCTTTTCTACTAAGAAGTTCATCATAGGTGCTGCAGACCTGCCTCCAAAATCCTGATAAAAGCCAGGTGTGGTGTGGCACATGCCTATAATCTCAGCTACTTGGGAGGCAAGAGATTTTTGTAAATTCAAGCCCAGTCTAGGCAACTCAGTGAGACTCTCTCAAAATACAAAGGGTTGCGTGGGCAGAGACAGCCAGGCAGATCCACCTCTGCCAGTGGGGTGCTGTCACCAGAAGGCCGTTTTCTACGGGTGCACAGCATGGGCAGAAAGAGCCAGACAGATCTGCCTCTGCCTGCCATGTGCCGCCACTGGAAAGCTCTTTCCCAGGGTAGCCAGTGCAGGCAGAGAGAACCAGCAGATCCATCTCTGCTTGCAGGGAGCTTGCCACTGGAAGGCTTCTTCCTGCAGGTGACCAGCATGAGCAGGGACACACAGCCAGGAAAGCACTGTGCACCTGTAGGCCATCATTGGAGGCTCTTGGTTCCTTCAAGCAAACATCACCCAATAGCAGAATCAGACAAATACACCTCTGTGTGCCAGCCACCATCGTGGAAGTCCCAGTGTAGATACACAGGCTGAGAGAAGCAGCCCCATCTCCATGCAACTTTAATCATCAGGAAGACCCAGTGTAGCTGCACCTATCTGGAGAAGCCTGCTCCACGCCCTGTTACCTTCTTGTAAGTCTGGAATTAGAGGAACCCAGGTGCCTGTCCAATCCTCCTACACTGCCCAGGGGCAGCCAAATGGGAAGTGCCTAGGGTCCTGCAAGCTTGTTGGGAGGAACCCAAGAGAATGTCAATCTCAGACCTCCAGCCCACACAGAACAAGTCTGGGAGACACAATCATCAAATAAAATGGAAGTCACACCCTGAAATCTTTGAGAGGATAGGAACTGAAGTGAGGAAACAACTTCATGAGATTGTAAAAGTAGTCAAATCAGAAGTAGTGTCTCAGGTAAAAGATGAAATCACAAACATGAGAATGCTGAAAGAATTGTTCAGCAGGTCTAAAGAAGACATAGACAAAAAAGAGGAGCATAGGAAAATGATGGAAACCTTAAATGAATATAGAAAGGAATTACAGTGCATAAAACAGATTCAAAGAGAGATCCAGGAAATGAAGAATTCAGTTGAAAGCTGGCAAAACTGCGTGAGAGGGACTGAAGATAGACTGTGAAGCCTTGAAGATTGCAACTAGTGATCCTGAAAGGAAAGATCTCTTAAAAACAACACGGAATGAGGAAATAGCAACTAAATGGCTGCAAGATGATGCAAAGAAGCATAATTTAAGAGTGATAGGTGTTGGTGAAGAAGCAGGAGTCAACACAAATGACATTAAAAGGCTATTCACAGAAACTATAGAAGAAAACTTCCCAAACATGGGAAATGGATCTGGCATGCAGATAAATGAGGCATATGGGACTTCAACTAGTCATAACCAAAGTAAATCTACACCCAGACATATAATAATCAAGATCCCAGAAATTCAGCAAAAATAACAAAATATTAAAAGCTGTTAGAGAAAAGAGACAGATCACCTATAAAGGAAAACTAATCAGAATCTACAGATTTATCAACACAAACCATCAAGTCAAAAAGAGTTTGGAGTGAAGTGTTTCAGACCCTGAAAGAAAACAACTTCCAACTCAGATTGATCTACCCTGTAAAATTATCTTTCAAAGTTGATGGAAAAATAAGATACTTCCATGACAAAGAACAACTGAAGGAATGCATGACTACCAAACCAACCCTACATAGAATGCTAAAGGATGTTCTAAAGAGAGAAGGACGACCACAGGTCCAGGAACAGCAGCAGAGGAGGATTGCCAAACAAGATAGGCAATTGAGTGAAAGGGAAAAGTGGAGGGCCAACAACTAGAGGATAGCAGGGCACAGACAAACCAGTGTATGCTGGTTGTAACCATTAATGTAGATGGCCTCAGATTAGCAATAAAAGAAACACACAGAGAGTGGATCAAGAAGCAAGATCCATCACTATACTGTATACATGAAACACATTTTTTTTATTTAAAAAGAAAAAATAGTAAAAGGGTAAAAGTAATACAGAATTTCAAGAAAAAAATATAGTAAGTAATCACTAGTTAATAGATTACATATTGTCATCTTAGAAATAGTTGTTCAAATTACAAAATTAAAGCATACAAAATAGACATTCAAACAGTGAGATTGCAAACAGTTCTGTTCAATGATCCAACAAAAACTTAGTAATATGGTTTTCTATCTTACACACTTAAATATACATGCAGTTATATCCTTTAGATCACTTTCTTTTCCTCTCTTTTTTACAATAACAATTACACATTTTGGGTTTTATTATTCCCACAGTTCTTATTACTTTTTTTTGAAGAGAAAAAAGTTAAATATGACAAAACAAAGCAGTTAATCCAAACAAAGGATAGACATAACACATGCTATCTTAAAAAGAGTTGCCTATTTCATCAGGTATAATAGAATGGAACAAAACAGTACAGAACAAAACCAATAAAACCTAAACATTGGAGACCTTAAAGGACTTTAAAAGAAGATAATAGTCAACCATAATGGGCATCATAGTAAATCTTATTGCCTTCAAAGTGGTTGCCTATACCCTCAAACTTTTTTTTTTTGAGGGTCTTTGCAAAAAAATTCTATGAACCTTTATTGACAGTAATAATTTTATAGTGTTTTTATAGGTCTCCTCTATATAAGTAATGTTTGAAATATTTCCAAAATAGTCACATATGTAAGATTTCACTTAACTATGATTAGTTTAACATGTTTGACAATAATGATGAATACTAAATGCTTTCCCACATTGCATACATAGGCTAAGGAAACAATATGGCATCACTCAGAAGAACAGCATCTTTCAGCTGAACTTTTAGCAAATATTTCTCACATGCAGTTACTCCCCAGCATGAGGGGAATCTTATGCTTGCAAAAGGGAAACACTGCAGCAAATTTTTTCTACATGACCTACATACAGAGGATTTCTTCATTGTGTGCATTGTCCCTCTATTTGATGGCACTTTTGTGCACTAAATGGTATTCACCATTGTTCAAATGCATAGAATTACTATACAGAGGGAAGTTTTTCATGTAGTGACAATCTCTCTGGTTGTGGAAAGTTTTCTGACATTCCTTATGTTCATAAGGTTTCTTCGAGTGTGGATATTTTATGTTTATAAAGTGACAATTTATCAACAAATCCATATTCTCCTTTCTCATATAGGTAGTTTTTTTGCAGAGTGAATTCTTTTATATACAAAGATGCTACTAAAGTTGAAAGACATCTCTAATATCATACATAGATAAATAGGGTTTGTTTTCAGCTCTTCTACATACTGAATGCTTTGCCACATTGTTTATATCCATAGAAGTTCTATCCAATGTGATTTCTTTCATGTATAATAAGGGTACCATTTTGAATGAAAGATTTCCCACATTGCTTACATATATATCGTTTCTCCCCAGTGTGAACTCTATCATGTGCTTTACAATCAGAGTCTTTACGAATGTTTTCCCATATTTGTTGCATACGTAGGGTTTTTCCTGAGTGGGTTCTTTCATGTGTAATAAGTTTATCACTTCGATGGAAAGATTTGCCACATTAGTTGCATACAAAGGGTTTTTCCCCCTTGTGAATTCTATTTTGTTCTTTAAAATCAGAAGATGTACTCAATGCTTTTCCACTTTTGTTGCATACATAGGGTTTCTCCCCAGTGTAAATTCTACCATGTGCTTTACAATCATAAGCTCTTCTGAATGCTTTCCCACACTTGTTGCATATATAGGGTTTTTTCTGTGTGGATTCTTTCATATGTAATAAGTTTATCACTTCGATGGAAAGATTTCCCACATTAGTTGTATACAAAGGGTTTCTCCCCCGTGTAAATTCTACCATGTGCTTTAAAACCGTAGGCTCTCCTGAACGCTTTCCCACACTTGTTGCACACATAGGGTTTTTCCCCAGTGTGAATTCTACCATGTGCTTTACAATCAAATGTCCTGAACGCTTTCCCACATTTGTTGCACACATGGGGTTTCTCCCCAGTGTGAATCATTTTATGTCTTTGACAGCTACTGCCTGTACTGAAGGTTTTCCCACATACCTTGCATAAATATAGTTGCTTTCCAGTGTGAATTTCTTTATGTTTTTTAAAGGAATTACTATAAAAGCATGTTTTTGCACATTTCTTAGTTACATGGTATTTCTCTCCATCATCTTTTCTAACATTTTTTTCAATATGGTATAAAGAAGTAGATTTATTGTCATAATGTTTGTCTACATATAAGCTCCTTGAACTGTTATTGCTCTTGTTGATTTGAAAATTGTTAGGTGTTGTGTAAGCTTTCTCATTTTTCTTACCTACAAGTGTTTTCTGCCCAGGGTGAGTTTGTTCACTTAAGATCAGAGCTGTCCTCCCCACATTGCCCATATTGACAGGGTCTCTCTCCAGTCTTCCTCATTTCATGCTTCTGAAAGGACTGGAAATCTCTGCAGGTCTCCACATTTTTATTACATTTATATGGCTGCTCTTCAATTCTCAAATAATTATCTTCATCATTATTTAGACTTCTTGAGCAGTTTTTGTCTTCTTCATTAATTTTCTGGCTATTCCACATTCTTCCTGTAGCATTAATATTCATATATGTTTCCCACATCACACTTCTGTAGAGCTTCTTTTGGGATGGAGTCAGCAAATCCCACTCTTCTGGGGTAAACGTCACAGCTACATCCTCAAAGGTCACTGTCTCTGGAATCTGTGGGATGCAATGAAAGCTGTCCTCAGAGGAAAGTTTATTGCACTGAGTTCCCACATTAGGAAAACAGAACACATACAAATAAATAATCTGACATTACACTTCAAATATCATTGCTATGCTTGAGGATATACCCTCAAACTTGTTACTATCAAACAAAACAGAATAGAGTAAAATCAGTCAAAACAAGATGGGGAGAGCAACACAGGGGTTCAAATCAGATTAATAGAAAAACAAAAAGTCAGTATAATATATCCCTCTATTTTTAAATTTATTTTTCCCTTAATTTAAAAAATAAAAAAAATTAATTTTTTTTTAGAAAAAAAAGGGGAGATTGAGATAAAAGAAGACATAACAGCAGAACAACACAGGTCAGAACAGAACAATTTAAGCATCATAGTGTTTCACCACCAGATAACCTGACATAATAGTAGTTACCATAGTGTCTCTTTCCTTGAAATATTTGAGTATGACTTCGTATACAAGAAACACATTTAACTGGGAAGGAAATTCATAGACTGAAAATCAAAGGAGAGAAAACAATTGTTCCATGTGACAGGAGACCAGAAAAAAAAAAAAACAAGTAAATGTAACTTGCCCATTTGACCACAGAATGGATAAGAAAGATATGGTATTTTCATGCATTGAAAAGCTACCCAACTATAAAGTAGGATGATCTCAAGGGTTCTGTAGGTAAATGGATGCAACTAGAGAGCATGTTCATGGGTGAAACAGTTCAAACTTGTATGCGTGAACCCTAGCGTAAGAAACAGAAGGAGTTAATGCAATCCAAAAGCAAAATAATTATTGTAAGAGAGATAGGGTAGGAAGCACCTGGGAGGGAAAGGTGGTAACTACTGTTAAATTTTTTATTGTCTTGTCTTGAACTCTTGTATTGTTTTCACAATTTTGTTAGGTTTGGCTTTGTTCTATCTTGTTTTGTTAGATTTTACTCTGTCTGATTATAGGGGCAGGTATTTGAATATAATGGGGTAAATTATGGTAATCTTGGTTTCCTGTTATATTGAAAACTTATAATGCTTTCACTCATTTATTTAATTGGTTTTATTGTTTTATTTGATTTTGTTATGTATGATGGTATAAACAGCCATTTTGAAGAAAATGGGACTTAGTAGCCATTGCTGATTTCCTGTGATCTTGCTTTGAAATCCTATCATGTTTTTGTTTTTTTTGTTTTGATTGGTTGTATCTGGATCTATCCAGGTAAAAGCAGAAAGATTTTGGGAACTTGGGTCAAGAGGGACAGTAGAGAAAGCATCTTTGAGAACAGTAAGGTGAGGTGTCTGGCAGTACTGAGGGAAGAATGTTTCATGGATTAGGCTCTAGGGGATGGTGCGCAGTGAGGCGCCAATGTTTGCGTATAGGTCCTGAACTAGACCACAGGTCTCATTTGGTGTTTTACAGCTAGGATAGGAGTATTGTAAGGAGAGTTGGTGGGAGTAAGAAGCCTGGCAGAGAGGAAGGAGTTTGGAGATAGTACCTTGGAGTCCCCAAATGATCTGTGGGATATGGTACCTTGTTGGGGAAGGTGATGGAGTTTTTCACGCTAATGTTGATAGAACTGTGATGAGGAGCAACTTGAGGGTTGTTCAGTGCCTCAAACAATGGGATTGGCTTGGAGTAGAATGTGAGGTAAGTTTATGTGGGTTGTGGGGATGGGGCTAAGGAGAATATAGGAGAAGAATAGCAGCAAAGGTTGGAGTCTGGATGGTAGTGGTGGAATATAACTTTGAAAGTGTATCTCATTCCATTAATGGGGTAGAATGGGTTGGGATACTAGAAAGGAATGTGTAAAAACTGTTTTTAAAGTGTGAGATGGAGGCTTGATACAGAGTGATTTGGAGCAAAGGCCATCAACTCTTATAGTATATGAGACAGAGCAGGCACTAAAGGCCCTGGATGTTTCCAATAACTAAATACGTTGTTCACACATTCAAAAGCAAAGAGATTAACTTACCTGCTGCCATCAGACAAACTCCGGGTTTATTTTGGTGATGAACTTCAGAACTTGTGTCTCCTTAGTTATCGGCAGCAGGTCCCCACAGACTGGGGAGGGACAGGTTGGAGTTAGCCGCGGAGTTGGAATACTTGGCGCCCTTTTCCCAGAGGTCCCAGGATAATGCTTATGGGACCTTTAGCTTATGGGAAGAAAGGATTGTTTTTGTATTTACTTATCTCTTGTGCAGTGTTTCTGACTCTTCTGTGCATTCTGAATGAAGTGAGTCATCAGAGAAGTTTGCGTGCTGAGAATTTTAACCCTTTGTCATTCTTTTTTCCCTCCTGAATCAGGAAGTTCAGATCATTGACAAGGAATGAAGTGGTCACACATGTAACTGCTTCAAGCTGAGTGGAGATATAGAGGATTTTTCTAAATTTTAAAAATTCTATTAGAAAATATTTGCAGTCATATGCAGTTTAGTGGGAAATGATTACATGCACATACTACCGCTTGTTTCTTCTTTTAACCGCCGCCCCTCCCCTCAGTTTCCCTATCCTGATTTTCATTCTTGATATTAACCTTAGCTATGGGATGTAATGTTTACATAATTGAGATTGTGAAGTTCCTGGGTATGGCCTATTTTTATTCTCCTTATTTCCTCTCTCCCTCTTCCTCACCCTTACACTTGTTTCCTTGGTCCCCTAGTCCCCTTCTATCCATCCTTTATTATTCTCCTTGTTTGTACTTTCCCTCACTCAAATGAGAGATATCATATGGTATTTAAGTTTGTGTGTCTGGCTTATTTCATTCAACAGTGTATTTTCCAGGTGCTTCCATTATCTAGAAATGTCAATGTGTCATTGTTTATAACTGAGTACTATCCACTATATATAGATACCACATTTTCTGTATATAGATACCAATCATCTGTTGATGGGTATGCAGGCTGCTTCCAGGATTTAACTATTATGAATTGTGTTGCTGTAAACATTGGTGTGCATGCAACACAGTAGTATGATGTCTTAAGCTCTTTGGGGAAGATACCTAACAAGACAAGGATACGTGGGTCATATTGAATTTCTAATTTCAGTCCTTTGAGAAATCTCCGTACTGATTTCCATGATGGTTTACGTTATGGAAATAATGTAAACCATTATGGAACTAGTTTATATTCTCACAAAGAATGCAGGAGTTCTTTTTTTCACCACAGCCTTGCCAGCATTTGTTATTATTTGATTTCTTAATGGTTGCCATTCTTTCTGGAGTAAGATGGAACCTTAAGGTTGTTTTAATTTGCATTTCTCTAATGGCAAGAGATGTTAAGCATTTTCATATATTTATTGACCATTTGTATTTCTTGCTCTGCGAAATGTTCATTTCTTTTGCCCATTTCTTGACTGGTTCTTTTATTTTAGGTGATTTAATTTTTTTGAGTTCTTTGTATATTCTGCCCTCTGTCTGGTGACTAGCTGGCAAAAAATTTCCCCATTCTGTAGGTTTTTTCTTCACTCCATTGATTGATTCTTTTGCTCTACAGCAGCTTTTTAGTCTGATATAATCCCATTTATTGATTCTTGCTGCTATTTCTTGTATGATTTAGGTACTGCTTAGAAAATACTTTCCTATACCTGTGTCTACCATTATTTTACATATTTTATCTTCCAGTGAGTTTAATGTTTCTGATTTAATGTTTACATCTTTGATCTATTTTGATTTTAATTTAGTATATGGTAAGAGATAAGGGTCTAGTTTTAATCTTCTGCATAGAGATAAACAATTTTCATACCTGGCTGAGTGTGATGCTTTTAATTTTGGGGGGAAGATATCAAGAAGGAGAAGAGCTGGATCAACTGGGACCTCTAGCCATAGTTTTATCTCTATACTGATAGAATCTCTATACTGATTTCTATAGTGGTTGCATCAGTCTACACTCCCACCAAAAGTGGAGAAGGGTTCTTTTCTTTCTGCACCCCTGCCAGCATTTGTCATTGGTTGATTTTTTGATAATAGCTATTCTTTCTGGGGTGCGATGGAATCTAAGAGTTGTTTTAATTTTCATCTCTTGAATGATTAATGGTGTTAAACATTTTTTCATGTATTTATTTTCCATTTCTAGTTCTGAAAAGTGTCTATTCATTTCAGATGCTCATTTATGGATTGGGTTTTTAAATGGGGGGGGGTTGTCTGATTTTTTTTTTCAATTCCTTGTATACTCTAGATATTAGTCTTCTTGTCCGAAGAACAACTGCCTAAGATTTTCTTCCACTATGTGGATTGTCTCTTCACTCTGTTGGTGATTTCTTTTGCTGTGCAAAAGTTTTTTTCATAAGATGAGATCTCAGTAATGATTCTTCGTAGTGCTTCTCATGTGGTTGGGGTTTTGTTCATGAAGTCTTTGCCTACACCTATGTCCTCAAGAGTTCTACCTATTCTCCCTTCCAGCAGATCTAGTGTTTCTGTTTTAATATGTATATCCTTGATGCATTTTGATTTTTGTTTAGTACATCGTGATAGATGTACTAAACAACTCTAGGAGGTTTAATTTTAGTTTTCAGCATGTGGAAAGCCAGTTTTTCTAGTACCATTTATTAAAGAGGCTTTCTCTCCTCCGGTAAATGTGTTTGACTCTGGGGCATCACAGTCCCTGACTTGAAATTATACTGCAGAGCTACTGTGATAAAAACAGTGTGGTACTAGAAAAAAAAAAGATCTGAGGATCAGTGGAACAGATTAGAAGGGGCAGAAACAACTTCAAACACACTCAGCTACTTTGTCTTTGACAAAGAGGCTATACCACTATTTTTAATCTTCTTAAACTTTAATAATTTAAAGACCTAATTTAAGATAAGGAATTTGGAAAAAAAAGACTTAAGTCCTTTAGTTTGATTATGAACAAAATGTTAAATAATTATATCTTAGTTTAACTATTTTCATGTTTGAAGTAATATTTATTTAAAGCTCTGTAAGCTTTATTACAGTTTTCTTTTTAGTTTTGTTTGTCTAATATCAAGTAGGTGATTTTTTTGGTTTGTACATGTTTGCAGTGCATAATGATTAATTCATTGTGTGGACTTGGTACATGTTATGTATCTCTGAACTCTTCGTTACCACCCCCCTATTGTGTCTCTTGGTTCATTCCATTTTCCAAAAGTTCTGCTTCCAAGCTGAGTGTGGAGGCACATACTTCTAATCTCAGAACTTGGAGGTTACAATGGGAGCATTGCCACAGGTTTAAGACTGGCTTTGACTACATAGTGAATTTAAGACCAGCCTGAACTACACGACAAGATCCAATTTAAAAAAAAAAAAGGAAAAATAAAGTTCTATTTCCTTGTTTTCTATGATCTATCTTTTATGTTGCTGTTTATATTTTTGGGCTTCCCATGTAAGAGAAACCATATGATCTTTGAGCTTGTGTATATGATTATTGCACTTGACATTATGGTCTTAAATTGCTTCTAATTTGCTACAAATGACTGAAGTTTATTCTTCTTTATGGTAGATTAGTAATCCAGTGTGTTTGAATACTATATGTTCTTTATCTACTTATCTATTTTAATTAGAATATACTTGCAGTACATAATGATTTACATTTCTTATGTGGAGTTGGTATTTGGATATAACACATCTCAATATTTTTATGCTTTCCCCTTCAGCCTCTCTTTCCATCTCGTGTGTGTGTGTGTGTGTGTGTGTGTGTGTGTGTCTCACTATGTAGTCCAAGCTGGCTTTAATTTGCGGCAATCCTCCTGTCGCAGCCTCCCAAGTGGTGGGGTTACAAGCATATGCCACCACGTCTAGCTCTTCCCTCTGTCTCTTTAGCCTACTTGAAAGCCATCTATCTCCCTACTTTCTATTTTTTGTTTTGCTCTTTTTCTGGTTTGTTTTTCATATCTTGATAAAGAGGCTATCTTTCCTCTACTATGTGTTTTTTGCTCCTTTGTCAAAGATCAGATGTCTGGGCTGGGGATTTAGCTCAGCAGCATAAGCGCCTGCCTTGTAAGCAGGCAGGCAGTCGTGAGTTCGATCCCTGGTACCAATAAAAAGGAAAAAGGCAAAAAAAAAAAAATCAGATGTGTGAGTGTTCCTCGGGCTGTTTCTTTATCCTTTATTCTGTTCTATTGATCCTTCCATCTTTTTTTGGCCTGTAACATGCTGTTTTTTTTTCTTTTAATCATTGTTGCCTTGTAATATTACTTGAAATCTAGGATTGTGTTGTCTCCTACTTTGCTGTTGTTACCTTGGATTGCTTTTGCTATTTTCATTCTTTTCTGGTTTCATGAGAATTTTAGGATTTTTTTCTACAGTTTTGTGAGGAATATCAATAGTGTTTTTGATTAGGATTTTGTTTAATCTATATATCAGCTTTGGAAATAACACTGTGAGACCATTTTGACAGTGTTACTTCTGCTTATTTAGGAAGAAGGGTGTCTTTTCATTTTCTAATGTCCTCTTTCATCTGCTTTTTAAAAATGTAGTGTTGCTTTCATTGTAAGGCTCTTTTTCCTCCTTGGTTAGTTATTCTAGTTGTTGTTGCTTTCTTTTTGATTCAGTATCTTGCTATGTAGTTTGGGCTTACCTTGAACTGACTATGTAGCTCAGGCTGGCCTTGAACTCTGGCAGTCCACTTGCTTCAGCCTGGGATTTTAGGCATGAAGCACCCTGGTGTGTTATTTTGGAAGTATTTAATTTTTTAATGCTATTGTGAAGTGTATTATTTTCCTAATTTCTTTTTTTCTTTTTCTTATTCAACTTTGTTTTAATGGGTCTCAAAATTCTGTGACAGATTTTTGGTCAAGTTGTTTCCATTAAAAAGTGTTGATTTTTAAAAACTAACAACTTAAGAGCTGCCACACACACACACACACACACACACACGCATGCAGGCATGCACAAATAGTCCACAAAACATTCTTCTTTCCTTCTGAAGATTTTATGATGCACTATTAGCCAGTCGCTCACTGTTAAACTTAAATGGCCAATTGAGAGAAATAGTTTTCTTAATTTCTTAATTGGTGAGTTAATTATTGGTACAGGAGTACCACTAACTTTTTTTGTGTTGATTTTGTGTCTTCTTACATAGCTAAATTTTTTTATTATTTCTAGGAGTCTTTTGATGGAATATTTTGGGTTTCTTTGTTGTACACAAATAATAATTTGACTTTTTTTTTCTGTACATATGCCTTTTATTTCTTTTTCTTGCCTGATTTCTCTGGCTAATGTTTAGAGTATTATATTGAACAGAAGTGTAGATAATAGACATCTTTGCCTTGTTCTTGATTTTAGAGGGATAGCTTTCAACTTTTACTCCTTTAATATGATGTTGACAGTAGGTTTGTCGTAAATGGCTTTCATCGGATTGAAATAAAGTCCTTCCATACCTATTTTGTTTTAGTTTTTGAAAAAACTATGAATGGGTATTGGATTTTGTCAAAGGCTTTTTGCAAATATTGAGGTCATCTTGTGATTTTTTTTTTTTTTTAAACAAGGTCTTGCTATGTATTGCAGGCTGGCCTCAAACTTGTGGTGATCCTCCTTCCTCAGCCACCTGAGTTCTGGGATTACAGGTGTGCACCACCATGCCTGGCCCTTACATGATTTTTTTTTTTTTTTTTTTTTGGTATTGGGGATCAAACTCACAGCCTCATGCTTGCCAGGCAGGCGCTTATGCTGATGAACTAAACCCCTGGCCCAAGCCCCTGGCCCCTCATTATATGATTTTTTTCATTGTTTCTATATAATACCTTTATTGATTTACACATATTGAACCATCCTTACATCCCTGGGCTTAAGCCTACTTGGTTATGATCTTTTTGATAATTTGTTACATTCTGTTTACCACTGTCTCATTGAGATTTTTTGCATCTGTGTTCATTAAAGAGATTGACTTGCAGCTTTCTTTTTTAGTTGAATTGTTGTTTGACTTTGGAATCAGGGTAGTGCTGGCTTCTAGGAGTTGGTTTGGAAGTACTGTTTAGCTTTCAGTTTTATTAACGATTTTGATGAAGATAGGTGTTGGGACTCTGAAGTTCTCATAGAATTCAGTGATAAATCTGTCAGGCCCTAGGATTTTCTTGGTATTTATTTTTTAACTACTTTTATTTCATTGCCTTGTATTTGACTTTACTAGGTTTTTGTATTTTCTTGGTTTAGTTCTGGTAATGCAAGTGTGTTGGGAGCCACCACATTGCCGAGCCGCCGCATATAGCGATCATGCGGCCTGTGGTAAAGAGTAAAGCCTGAGTTAGATTACCCCTCCCATCGAGCACGTTAGTTTCCTGCTTACCGCGTAAACAACCCGCTCAATAATATGTTAGCCAATCAGCTTGCCTTGCTTACTTTAACATGATTGGACACTGTATCCGTATATATACTGGTGTCACCCCTGGGGGGAAGGAGAAGCCCGAAAGGAGCCGCGGAGAGCGGACCGGTAGAGGCTTCGGAGAGAAGCCCGAAAGGAGCCGCGGAGAGCGGACCGATAGAGGCTTCGGAGCGAAGCCCAGAAAGAGCCGCGGAGAGCGGACCGGTAGAGGCTTCGGAGCGAAGCCCAGAAGGAGCCGCGGGGAGCGGACCAGAGGAGGCTTCGGCTGGGAGCGATCCCAGGGCAGGCTGTACGGAGAAAAAATTAAAAAAAAGGTTGTCCACTGCCAGACTTTGTCGTGTGTCCTTCCTGCCGGCCGGGAGCGACATCGACATTTGGTGGCCCGTACGGGGACTGATCAACCCCGAGACACGGCGGTGGTGTGCAACGCTCCAGCGTGGTGCTGCCGGACAGGTGAGTTGGGGATAAGCCTGGGCTCTGGGTGGCGCGCACCTACAGGGCTTTTAGACTCCCCTCAGGCTCACGCGTAGGTGACGGGTTCTTTAAGTCACACGCGGTGAGTTACAGCCCTTAGAGGTTAGAGATGGGTAATTTACCGAGCGCAGAGGCGCGGCCCTTGGTAAAGGCCCTTAGGAAGCTTTTAAAAGCTAGAGACCTCAGGGTAGGTCAAAAAACACTAAAACTATTCATAGCAGAGGTAGATAGGGTGGCTCCCTGGTTTTTACCCACGGGGCATTTAAACCTGCCGTCATGGGAGAAGTTAGGCGGGGACCTCGCTTCGGCGGAATTGGAAGGGGATATTTCGCCGGCTATTCGCCCCCGTGGGAAATGATACATGCGTGCCTTGATTCCTATGCCGAGTTGCGCCGCGAATTGTGTGCGTGCGCCGCTCAAAAAAAGCAGAGAGAGGAAAAAGGGCCCCCGAGCGCTCTCTGGTGGGGAGGAGATAGAGAGCCATCCGCTCCGCCCTGGAGCTCTTCTCCAGAAGCGGCTCCCCGCCGAGAGGCCGCTACAGGGAACCCTCCCTTCTCTCAGCCGGCACAGGAAGTGACGCCCCGTTCCACTCTGTCGCGACCGCCGTCCTATGACGTTGCGCCGCGGGGCGGACGGTATTTTCATGGGCGGCTACTCTGCCGAGCAGGCTGAGAAAAACGCCAGTCGAGGAAACGGGCGCTGGGGATTTAGCTCAGCGGCATAAGCGCCTGCCTTGTAAGCAGGCAATCGCCAGTTCGATCCCTGGTACCAATAAAAAAAAAAAAAAAAAAAAAAAAAAGATAAAAATAAAAAACAAAAAGGGGGAGTAAGCCAAGGCCTGCCTCCAAAGGCGCGGTTATCTATGGCATGACAATGGATGGGCCCGGATCCGGTGGTTAGCTGGAACCGAGGCGCGGTTTGTGTTTTTCCGCAGGAACCGGGACAAAAACCACTGTGGGTCCCAGAGAGGTTGACGCGACAAGTCCCTCGACTAAAGATCAGGCCTGTTCCACCAGGGGCCAACCGCAGACCCAACAACAAGATGAGCCCTAAAAGAACTGCAGGACAATCCCTTTTTGGGGAGCCTAAAATGGCTTGCTCCCCTATGTTTTACCATTGTTAGGTCCCCTGTGCTCCTTGCTTCTGCTCTTACTTGTAGGACCATTCTTGCTCCGATGGGTTACATCATTTATTAATGGGCGCCTTGCGGCGGCCCGGCGTCAAGTACGCCTGGTTGCCCATGCGGCCCTGGCAGCAGCCCGTGATGGGCACAATGACCCCCAGGCCTACGCATGGCTCGCTCGCCTAGCCTACGACCGAGTCTAGGGACGGTGAGCTTCCCACACTCCTCCTCTAAAAAATTATGATATAACAGGGTAGATGAGTCAATGACGGGTAAGAGCATGCCTCCCCAGCATGACTCAACCTAAGACAGGCCCTACCCCATACCGCACGAAAGCCGCTAAATTACTAGGTTCCGCCCAAACCAAATGTCGCCCCGGGGGGATCATGCGGAGCGACATGAGTGTATGCCTGTGTGCATCCAGGTTCCGTCCGGTTCCTTCCTGGCCCTGGAAAAAGGACGAGGGCCTCGGGGCCTCGACAGACTCGGGGACGGCCGACCCGGGCCGACGCCGAGAGTCCTTGGTGGGCCTCCTATCAGGGCATAGGCCTCTACACTCAATTCAGGACGGGCTGCGATGCGTAGACTTATTTAAAATAAAAAAGGGGGAGATGTTGGGAGCCACCACATTGCCGAGCCGCCGCATATAGCGATCATGCGGCCTGTGGTAAAGAGTAAAGCCTGAGTTAGATTACCCCTCCCATCGAGCACGTTAGTTTCCTGCTTACCGCGTAAACAACCCGCTCAATAATATGTTAGCCAATCAGCTTGCCTTGCTTACTTTAACATGATTGGACACTGTATCCGTATATATACTGGTGCCACCCCTGGGGGGAAGGAGAAGCCCGAAAGGAGCCGCGGAGAGCGGACCGGTAGAGGCTTCGGAGAGAAGCCCGAAAGGAGCCGCGGAGAGCGGACCGATAGAGGCTTCGGAGCGAAGCCCAGAAAGAGCCGCGGAGAGCGGACCGGTAGAGGCTTCGGAGCGAAGCACGGAAGGAGCCGCGGGGAGCGGACCAGAGGAGGCTTCGGCTGGGAGCGATCCCAGGGCAGGCTGTACGGAGAAAAAATAAAAAAAAAGGTTGTCCACTGCCAGACTTTGTCGTGTGTCCTTCCTGCCGGCCGGGAGCGACATCGACACAAGTGTATCAGGAATCTGTTTCTTCTGGATTCTCCAATTTACCGGAATACAGGTTTTTGAAATACTAATGATCTTCTGGATTTCGGCAGTATCTATTGTGACCTTATCTTTTTCATTTCTGATTGCATTAATGACTGCTCTTTTTTTTTCTTCTTCTTTTGGTAAGATTGGCTAAGGGTTTATTTTGTTTATTCCTTCAAAGAGTCAGTTCTTTGATTCATTGATCTTCATGTTTTTGAATCAATTTCATTTAACTTTTCCTCCAGTCTTTATGATTTCGTTCCTTGAACCAACTTTGCCTTTGTATTGTTACTGTTAGAATCTTGTTTCATCTTAGGTTATTTATTTGGGCTCACTTTTTCTGATGTACAAACTTCTTCTTAAGACTGCTTTCATTGTATCTGATGCATCTAATGTGTGATATTGGGTGTTATCATTTGACTCTAGGACCTGTCTTATTTTTTCCTTGATTTTTTTCAAGACCTATTCATTATTCAAGAGTTTATCATTTAATTTACATGTGTTTGCATAATTTCTGTGGTTTCTGTTGCCATTCATTTCTAGTTTCATTGCCCTATGATCCAACAATTCATGGGATAATTTTTTTTAAATTTACTTAAGCCTTCTTTATGGCCTAGAATGTAGTCTGTTTTGGAGAAAGTTCTATGTGCTGAGAAGTGTGTATTTTCTGTTGTTGGGTGATACAATATAGATACTAATTATGTTTGACGATTTGGTTCAACTTTGATATTTATCTGGTTTTTTGTCTAGTTTTTCTATTTGTGATTGTGGGGTATTAAGGTCACCCACAATAATTTTGTTATTTCTGATCTTTTATTTCCAGGAGTGTTTTTTTTTTTTTTTATGAAGTTGGGCGTGCTGATGTTCAGTGCATGTGTTTATAATTGTTACCTCCGCTTTTTGAATTGTTTGCTTAACCAATATGTAATGACCTTCTTTGCTTCCTTTGATTTGTTTTGAGGGGGCTCCTGGTGCATAGAAAATTGCTTTTTTTTTTTGGTTAAGAATGCCTTTTTGAGTTAAATACACTTTTTGTATATGACATACTATTGGATTTTGGTTTTTGGTCCATTTGCTAGCCTGGTCTTTTGATTGGGGGATAAGACCATTCACACTAAGAGTTATTAGTGAAATGCATTGACTTACTTCTGTCATTGTATTAGTTGCAGATCCATTTATTCCCTTTTTGCTTAACTGCTTACTCTGTCTCGTATATTCATTGATTAGAATTTTTGGCATCATTTATTTTATTGTCTCTTTCAAGGAAGCTGTTGAGGATATTTTGGAATGCTGGCTGCTGGTCGTGAACTTTGTGATGTTTTTGTCATGGAAATACCATATTTTCCCATGAGTTTTGAAAGATAAGGTTGCAGGATATATCAGTGTAGGTTGAAAGTTGTTCTCACTTAGGGCTCAGAATACTTTATTCCAAGCTCTCATGGCCTTTTAAGTTTGTGTAGACAAGTCTGCTGTGATTCTAATGAGTTTACCTTTGCAAGTAATTTGTTGCTTTTCTCTAAAAGCTTTTAAGATTCTGTCTGTGTGTTGGACTTCTAGGATTTTGTCTGTGATTTGTCATGGAGAAGTTGTTATCTGATTGTGGCTATTTAGAGTTCTATATGCCTTGCTTATCTCTGTGTTAAATTTTCTCCATATTTAGAAAGTTTTGTGTTATTCTTTTTCCAAATAGGTTTTCATACGATTTTTACTATCTCCTATTTTTCTCTCATTCCAGTTAGTCTTAGATTAATCTTCTTTGTATCGTCTAGCAGCTGTCAAATCCACTTTCCATCTTCTCTTGTTTTTTTAAAGGTATCTTTAAGTATATGTCACCAGTGTCAGCCCTGTCTTCTAGTTTTGACACTCTCTGCTTACACTGGTCCATCTACTGTCCATGCATTTTCTTTGTTTTGTTTTTAGTTTTTAGAGACAGGGTTTCAATATGTAGTTCAGGCTGGTTTTGAACTCACTGTGTAGCCAAGGCTTGCCTCAAACTTGTGGTAGTCCTGTCTCAGGCTCCTTAGTGCTAGGATTACAAGTGCGTACCGCTATGACTGGCCTCCTATACTTTCAATAGAATTTTTTATATTCTGAATTTCTGTTCAGTACCCTTTCACAGACTCTAATTCTTTGTAAAATGGTCATTCATCTTTTATATCATTGGTTTTAGCTTAATTAGCTGTTTATTAGTCTTTCATAAGCTCACTGATTATTTATTATGTTCATTTTTTGTTTAGTTATGTTTGAGTGCTTCAGCCTTCTTACTGATCTGTTTTCTCAGCTCTTTGGCATTTGATTTCTTCCACATTGATGCCCCATTGGTTAGTTTTGGAGGTCTAGGAAATTTTATGGAGTCATTTTGGTTTTTCTTTTTTTTAATTTTTAATTTTAAAGAGAATGAAACCAAGCAACATAAAACAGAGTAAAGCCAATAAAACAAACTAGTATAAGTGACACAGAACTTCAGAACAATAGGAAATCAATAATGGTTATCATAATATCTGTTGTCATCAAAATAGTTGCAGATACCTTCAGACATAGCAAAAATGAAGCAAAACAGAACAAAATAGAACCAATAAAAACAAAACAATGAATGCAATAAAGGCCTTCCATACAAGATAATAGTAAATCCAAAGTGGCTACCATAATATATCTTGTTATCTTTGAAATAGCTGCCCATGCCATCCAATATCAAACAAAACAAAACAGAATAAAACCCAACCCAACAAAGCAATGGAAATGATACAGGACTTCAAAACAAGACAATAGGAAATTAATAATGGCTACCACCTTATAGAAGGAGATTCCCCCATAGATGCTACATTGTGTATTGTTATCCTCTGAATAGATGATCAGACTACTGGCTTTAGTCCTGCAAAGTCAGTGAAACATTAAACACTGCAAGCATTAAATTGTATTTTACCTAAATAGCTATCATCACAGCCTGTGTTTCTCCAGATCAGCTGGGTACTTACGGCAGGGAGGCTGAGGGTGGGGGAGTTGGCTCTTATTGTTTCCCAGCCTGCATGCCAGAAAGGCTGGCATCTGACTTTCCCCGCAGCAGCCTACTGATGGTGCTGATTTGCAAGGAGGGCTTGCTTCTTGGTGACTTCTTGTTCTCTTCCCAGTCCTCAAATGGCACTGACTCAGGAGAAAAGGCTAGTATATTTGGCTCTGGAATCACTTTGTTGCCTGTTTTTCTCATGTTTCAATTGTGTCTGTGTGTACATGCATGGTGATATTTGCAGGTCTGTTTTAGTGGAAAGACTGTTGCTAGTATGGAGATCTCTTTAGTTAGTGTCTGCTTTTCAGTTGTGCAACTCTGGACGTGGCTAACTGTAGGCCTTTGCCTCTGTCACATTATTGCTTGTATTATTTTGGTAGAGAGGATGCAGTATAATTGGCCCAGAAGTGAGCCACAATATTGATGGCACAGAGACAAACCAGATACTGGCATACAGTAAAAACCAATTAATAGCAACAACTGTGCCATCCTGGCAATAGCAACAAAATCAGCAGCAGTAATAGATTCAAAGACAGACTGGATGTTGACATACCATAAAAACCAATAGAAGTTACTGCTGTACTACCCTTAACCATAAACAAGAAATCTATAAAAAAATTAAATTAGAAACAAAGACAAAACAAATACACACAGTAAATGTCTACTTAAGGCAATAACTGTTACCACCATTAACAATAAAAATAATTCAACAATAGAAACATGCTTTCACCCTAAATTTCTAGATATTAATAAACTTAATAGCAATGCTAGTAAAAATGGAGTAGGTAGAGAACAGAAGAATGATAAACATAAAATTTGAAAATAAAGAGGAGAGAAAGTGATATAAAGGACCTTATTAAGGAATAAAAGAAATAATAGAATTTAATAAAAATAATAAAAAGAAACAAACAAGAAAAAGAAGATAAAAGAAAAAAAAAAAAAAACAGCAAGCAAAAGAAATCAGAAACAAAAAGAAAAAGCCCAAAACTCTAAAGAAGAAAAAAAAATAAGTGAGACATGTATTAAAAAATTTGTATTTTTAAGTGAGTGTTTCTATCCAGGGTCTGCAGTATTGAAATTCACCAGATAAGCAGGAGTAGTAGTGAGTCATTGCTGAGATCTGTTTTGTTTTCACATGCATGTTTTTGCGTGTGAATGCTAGTTCCTGCCCTGCCTGAGAAGGTGTCTCACTGTGAGTGGTAGGTCAGTGACTTCTGCTTTAGGGGTGTAATAATTCTGAGCTGCCATTCTGTATTCCTTTGTGTGCCCCAAGTCAAGGCTTTTTCTACCTGACTTTATGGCCTTATCTTGGTGATATTCTTTCCATTCTCCTTCTCCAGCAAGCCCTCTGTTTATTCACCTTTGGTAGTGGAAACTGGCCAAGTTGAGCTGTGTCCCTGCTCACACTGGTAGATGTGGACAGTAAATGGACCACTGAGACCTGTGCTAGATGTAGGCAGTGGGACAGAACTGCAAGCAGACTGCTGGACCAGTGCTGGCACTTTCAGACCCTCTCCCCTCAGAAAGCCACACATGACTGGACTGGCTTTCACCACGGAAGGGGGACCCCTTTGTTCTTCCTGGGCTGTGGGTAAACTCTGGGTGTTCTTTGTCCAGCCTTCACCATTGCTGGTACTGTCTCTTGTGGCTATCTCCTACCCAGTCACTGTGACAGGACGACAGCAGAAACTCTAGAATACAGTTGTTAATAGTTTAGCTTTCTAGACTGCTTCATTTTTTTCTCTGTGCTGTGCTCCATTTCCCTGGCTTCTCTGTAGTTTTTAGTCTTCCTATTAGTTCCCTTCCGATTATCAGGGATCTTTTTTTTCCAATCTTCACCAAGTTCTTATTTTCAAGGTGTCTTGATTCCAGGTCCTAGGACAAGTTGATTTATATATTTTTTTCAAGGAGAATTGCTTCATATATTTTGTATTTGATGATTGTTTAAGATATAAATGTAAATTCAGATTTTCTTATAGAAGTTGCTACAAGATAAAAAATAGTTGGAATGTTATGAAATGAGTTAAAAAAAACCTCTCAGTCTGTTATCTAAAATTATTGTATTATTATTCAACCTATGTGATCAACCTGGTCTCATTTTCTTTGTTCAGACATTAAAGGACATCTACTCCAAATTAAGTTATAAACATGTGATAGTATTGCTTAGAAGTCATAAGATGTCTGGCATATAATAGACATTCAAATCACTAAGAGTTAACCACTTTAAAGAACATTTTAAGAAAGGAAAAAATTAGGTTGGGTCTGAAAGTTAAGTGAGGACGAAATGGGGGAAATGAAGTCTTTCTGGATACCCGTGGGAAATATGAGCCCAGTCATGAGTGAACAGAGTGTGGTCAGGGGACAATTGGGAAACCTGTCTGGATTTAAGAACGCCAGCTAGAGAAGAGTGGGTAATAAAGATTGGTACATCTTTACAACATACAACAAATCAGTTTCTTTCCTTAATAGTAAATGATAGGTAATTTGGTTGCTTTTATTTGAAAATTATTAAAAATGAATTCATAATTCTTAAAAAAGTAGGTAAATTAACAAGTCCTTCTTTCTGCCTATTTGATCATATCCTTGGCATACAACCTGTGTTAATAATTAGACATCTGTTGCTCCATCCGTTTCTTATTGCTGAGATAAAATATCCACTGGGATGAAATTTAAAGGAGGAGGGTTTATTTTGGTTCACAGTTTCAAGCCATGGATGGTTGATTGTAAGGCAGAAACAGGATGGCAGAGAGGCATGACAGAAGAACGGATGTCACCTTACAACAACCAGAAAGCAGCAAGAGAAAGGAGGAGTTGAGGAGGGAGAAATACTGTTGCAGGTCACGCCTCCAGTGACCACCCAGCCAGCATCCGCTCCTCACAGCACTACTAGAATCCACTGATGAACATACACCCCGGAATCCAGCCACCTTCTACACATCTGAGAGCTCTGGGGAACTTCTAGATCTAAACTGTAATACCTTCCTTTATTCCACGCTTGTATCAACATGGGTAGTAAGCAGTCACACTTATAGGGACACTTGTATGTTAGGAAACCTTTATGTTTTCATAAACAGTAGTATCTTAAACTTGTTATTTTTTCAGTTGGCACTGGACGTTGTTCCTGGTTAGACTGTGTTGATATTTTTCCTTCTATGTAATAAATGCTCATATCGCAGTACACGGCTATATGGTTTATCTCTCCCTGATTGTGGTGGTTTACAGTTTTCTTATTTTTTGTTTATTCACACAGTGCTGCGATCAGCATTCTTCTATATATGCTTTTGTGTTCTCAAGCCATTGATAGTGAGCTAGGGCTCACTGCTCCATTTACACAGAGACCAATACTGTTTCATCTAATTTTTGCAGAAAAGAAAAAGTTTCATTTTCCCTCCCTTCCCTTCCCCTTCTTTCCTTTGTTATTCACCTCTGCCCCTCCTTGAGTTGTACTCCCAAACATGACAAAACTTTTTAGTGAGAGCCACTCATCATTGAGACAGGATATTAAAAATCTCAGATCTGTCTCCCCTATCAGTTAGTATCAGGAAATTTTTAAAAAGACAGAGAAGAGAAGCCACTGATGGATTGGCAAGAAAGGGAAATTTTAGGGTTGTTTTGCATAGGCCTAATGATCATCATGTCCCCCTTCATAGGTCTCATGTTTCTTTTGGGGGAGTTCACTATATTCTGTGTGTAAGATTTTATGCTTGTGATGTCAGAAAATCCTGATCAGACAAGCTGATTGGTTCTGCTTATGTTCTTTCTTGGAAATGTGGTTTCAGCCTGTCCTTAAGTAGATTCTGGAGGTACTCTGTTGTCTAACAAATTATGTTTGGTGTGTTTAGACCTTAGCTGATTTCGCTATGATGTTGGGCAAGATTTTGTATTTCTAATTCTAAATTTAAAAGTTTATTGAATAATCCAAGTGAATAAAAATAACTTGCAGTTTCTGTTTCTGGTCCCTGGATGGCTCTCTATGACGAGGCTGAGCCTTCCAGTCCTGTTTTGCTTTTTGGCCTGCTTCCCTTCAGATCACAATTTTTTCCTTTTTATGGGTATATTGCAAACATGAGTGATAATGTTTCGTATATAAGGGAGAATGACTAATTTGGGTTGAAAATAGTATTTGTTACACTGGAAAGTCTATTCACAGCAGACATGCTGTGCAGTGGTACCTTGGTTCACAAACTTGCTTTGTTGCCAAGTTTCTGGAAGAGATGCCTGCTTGTATTTGTCACTTGATGCAGAGTTCACAAGCAGAAACAAAATTTTGCCAAATGTTTTTGTTTGTGAACCAAAATCTTTGCAAGCAAAAGTGTTTGTGAACTGCAGTACCACTGTATTTGCAGCCAGCCACTACTGCACTTGGCTAATCATGCTCTTAAAATAGGGTGAAAACTGAAATTTTTAATTAACTTAAATTATAACCAGTTCAGCTATTGGAATACATATAAATGTGTTTGGGATAATTGAACTAGTGAATCTACCTTTATGATTGCATATTTTGTGAAATCTAAATGTAGATCAAATACTGCTGAAGAAAATTTGCATCTAGGTTGGGATGTGTTGTGAGTGTAAAAAATACACAGGATTTTGAAGCTTTAGAGTGAGAAAATGTAAGAGTCTTAATTTTAAAATATTGATTGTATGTTAACTAATATTTGAGACATTTGTTTAAATAAAATATATTCAAATGAATCCCACCTATTTTTTTTATTTTTTTTAACATGGTTGCCTGAAAATTTATGATTAACTTATAAGGTTTTCACATATTTGTTGTAGAGTCCTTAGTGTAGCACAGAAAGAAACTTCGGAGGTTGCTATTCTTTTTTTTTAATTGGTACCAGTGATGAGCTTGCTACTCTTATTTGGTGACTTGAGTCTATGACTCTTAATGCCAACATGTCTTAACAATTTATTTACTTTCCTTAGTTTTATAACTTATCAGTGGTGGAATGTTGCCACTTAATGTGATCTCTGAGCACTTAAGCTTTGGTTCAGCTGAGCCCGTGAAATTGGTTGTAAAGTTCGCAAGGTTAAGTCAGCTCTTGACTGAATTTTAGCATCAGAGAGTCTGCCATTGTGAACTGTTCATGTCACAGACAGGCATCGAGAAGCAGTAAGAGTTAAACTTTTTACCAAAGAAGAGATTGTATAGAAGAACTAACTAACTAACTTACTTTCTTTCTTTTATTAATACATATTTTTCATACATAATGATCGCTTCATTATAGGAAATTTATACTTTTTTATCTTAATCTTTTTTCCTGTTCCCTTCCTCTCTCTTCTTCTTCCTTTCCCCATTTACAAAAGATTTGTTTCTATTTTTTCCTTTCATTCTTCTTTAAAATCCCCTTTTCCTTCTTTCCCTTGCCCCCTCCTTGTCCTCCTCCACAGTGGAATGTGTCAAGAAGAGCAGTATAGGCATTCTTGTTCTTCATCCTTTGTTTTTTTTTGGTACCGGGGATCGAACTCTTGACTGCACACTTGCAAGGCAAGTGCTTAAGCTGCGGAGCTAAATTGCCAGCCCGATCTTTTTTGTTGTTGTTGTTGTTGTACTAGGGATCGAACCCACTACCTTGCGCTTGCCAAGGCAGGGCTTATACCGCTGAGCTAAAACTCCTCTTGTTCTTCATCTTTTGTCAGAGATGTCTTATGATCTCTTCAGGCTGAGAACCAGGTTTTTTCTTTCTTTCTTTCTTTCTTTTTTTTTTTTTTTTTTGGTGGCTCTTTTTAAGTTCCTGAGGGCTATGGACTCCACTGAGGTATCTTGGCACTGTCCTGGCATATCAGTTAATGATCATTGTGAGGGTTTATCTGTTTTCTTTCAATTTTGGTCTATATGAGTTGTTCTTCTTTGTCCTTTCTCTCCTCCTCCTCCTCCTGTTCTTTGTCTTCTTTTTCTTGTACTGGGGATAGAACCCCAGGCTTCAGTCCTTTTTTATTTTGAAACAAGGTCTCATTGTGTTGCCCAGACTAGCCTCAAACTTGCAAGCCTTCTGCTTCACTATTCTAAGAGCTGAAAATACAAGTGCATAACACTTTCTTTCTTTTTTTATCGTTCCTGGGGATCAAACTTACGACCATACACTTGCAAGGCAGGCGCTTATGCTGCTGAGCTAAATCCTCAGCCCCTCTGAACTAAATCCCTAGCCCCTAACACTTTCTTTCTTTAAGCCTGTTTTTTCTTCATAAAGGAGAATGACTAAATGATATACCCTTTAGAATACTTTGTAGACCAAAAAATCTTTGGTTTATGCACTCAGCAGTTACTTATGGATTGTTCACTGTGTGGCAGGCTGTCTGCTAGTGTGGGCGATACATAGAGGGCCAGAGCCAGCCAAGTTAACTGATAAAAGCCAGTGAGTTTTCCTTCTGTGGAATATTTACAGGGGAGCTGTGATCATCTGCTCTGGAACTGTGGAAACAGGTACTTGCATTTTCTGAGCAACACTTTATCCTTATCCTGCCAGCCACTTTTCTGGACCCCCAGTTGTGTCTTTGTCCTAGCATGTTTCTGCCATTTGATCTGCCCAAGATAATCCAGGTGACTTACTCCACACTCCTTCGTGTTTCTGCTTAAATGTCACTATGATACCTACCCTGACTGTTGTCTGTAAAGCAGTGCTTTGCACTACCAGTCTTTATCAAACTCTTATGGACTTACTCTTCTTTATATCATTATTATTTACATTTTAATTTATTCTTGTTTGTATTTTCCTTTACCCTTCCCTTATATATATTTGACAAATAAACAAAATCATTAGATAATTTGTTCACCTCCTTTATCTCCTGTGCTGAGCAGTTACTACCACATATTGGATGCATGATAAACACTCTTGAAAGATTACCTCCTTGATCATTTATCTTTTTTTCTTCTTCCTGTGTTTTCCTGCAAAGCCGTAGATTGATGGTTATATTCACAATGACCATTTTTAAAAAATTTACTGGACTGTTTTGGTGGTCAGGAAGGTAGTGGCCTCTTGGGAGGAGCTACAGATCTTGGTACAATACTTTGTGTTAAGAAAAGATCTATTGCAGGCTCTGTTCTCCTGGCTGGCAGGCGTTTGGTAGCGCAGGCTTCTCACACAGCCACTGTGGCCTTGCATCTCCACTGCGACCACCAGCACGCCACAGCTTACCTCCAGGAACTGTGGTGCATGCACAAAGTGGTCCACATGATCCCTGGTGATACCACCCTAAAAGAACTGGCTGAGACCCTGCAACAGAAGAATGTTGACCACATACTGTGGCTTGAGCAGCCAGAGAATACTGCCACTTGCATTGCACTCTGGTTGTCCCTCAGGGAAGAAGTGAACTAGTATCTGAAGAGGTTCCAGTTGTTCAGATGGCCACTGATGGCACAGGTAGCTGTACCAGACATTGGAATGCCAGCAACCATAGGCTTCATGTACCTTTCTCAGTGTCAGCTTGTCTTTACTTCTAGTTTTGATGGCTTCTTGAGAGTCAAACTCAAATGACCAAATTAAAGTTGTCATTAATAAGTACTTACTGTTAATAACAGTATTAAGTTCAAGTGAGGGAGTTGATAAGTAGCAATATTATCTGTGGGTCATTACCCAAATACAAAATTTCGTTTGATTCTAGCATGGGGATCGAGGGAACACATTCTTTTTTGTTAAAAATAATGGAGTTCTTCTAATTACTCTAGTTTAAAACTTTGCCTTTCAGTTCCTTATTTTTTATTTATATCTCATTATCATAGTTCATGGAGTCTTAGACAACATCACCTTTAAGGTACAGTATTATTTTATGTGTCAGAGAAAAATGCTACTAATTACACCAAGACATGCTATTGATCATAAGATATGTTTCAAAATCAAAGATGTTTAAAAGTTATGTATATATACACATACATTTATATATATATATATATACTTTTTTAGAATGAAATTTGTAAAGTAAAGCTGTTACGTTTAAAGAAATTACTATGCTTAGAATAAGCAAATGCCTTGGTACTATTATAGTATTTGAAAGAGACACTTATCTTTGCCAATTAATTATTACATTTTGCTTTTTCCTTCTCTCTTTTAGTTTCCAGATAGGGCCGCTCCCACTGATAAACATCTTGAGGTCTTGATCAATAAATATGGTTTGTCTTCCCACCCAATTGCTCCTCAGATGTTTGGGTCTGCTGGAAAAGAGCACATGGAAAAATATGGTACGTCAAAAAAAACTTTTTGAGCTTCCTCTTACGTACATGAGATAAAAAGTAAAAGTATTTATTAAAGAACTCTGAAGAATATTAGGATATATAAAATATAAAATGATCTTTTAATTAGATTAAAGAAGAAATTATCTCTGACTGAAAGTAGTATATATTTTCTAGGGAAATACCTATGATATTCCACAGTAGGAAATTAAAATAATAAAAATAGCGCTGTCCCGGGATGGTGATGCACACCTGTAATCCCAGCACTTTGGAGGCTGAGGCAGAAGGATTACTGTAAATCTGAGGCTAGTCTGGGCTATGTATTATGTTCAACACCAGTCTGGACCATACAGTAAAGCCATATCTCAAGAAAAAAAAAAAAAAAGAAAAATAGCACAAATTTTATCTCTTTAATCATGAACTATAAAATAAGAATTATCAATTTCAGAATATACAGTGAACGTTTGAGTTATGACTGGCCTGACAATTTGGGTTATAACTGGAATTTTAGTTTTAGTTGTTTTTAAGAGAATAAAACAAAACTATAAAATAAAACAAAATGATAGGAATTATCTTGGATTTCAAAAACAAGACAATAGAAAATCAACAAGTTACTATATTGTACATTGTTATCCTCTAAATAGTTGCTCAGTCTACCAGATATAATCATGCAAAGTTAATCAAATGATATAAACCCTAAGTTGTTTCTTTACTTCAGTTGCCATCATTTCAGAAATTTCAGGTGTTTGCCTTCTAATTTATTTTGTGCCCATGTCTCCTGGACTACTTCTGGGTGCACTGGAGATCTGAGATTGCACTTTGTTCTTTCGACTTAACATTTTCCTGTGTTCCTCTAAATCAGCCAGTTGCTGAGCCCTGGGCACTTCTGTACTGGCTCCCTGTCCTGCAGTGCAGAGGATTGGGCGAGGCATCTGGAATCCTCCATTCTGAGGTTCCCATGATGGTGGAGAGGTATGGGGTGGCAGCTCACCAGTGTTCCTGGAGTGGTGTCAGGGCCTTGGAATATGACCTCTTCTCCTCTGGGCTCACTGGGAGATGTGGCTTGTCTTTGGGCCTGTGGCATCAGGCTCACTTGGGGACATCTGGAATTTTTGGTTTAATTTATGATGAACAACTTGGGTTATGACTGGAATTTATTTTTAACTTAAGACCAAGGTCTTGAGTTTTGACCTGAATGTTGGCCTTTTGTAATTCCAGAGGTCTCAGATACAGATTTAACACTTAAAGAATTCTGAAAGGAACATAGCAACATCTTTTTCTGGATGGGCTTAATTGAAAAATCTGGGCAATGTGTTTCTATGATCTGCTTGTGTACAGGAGAGAGACTTTGAAGGCTGCGTAGAGGAGCCTGAACCTTCAGTTGACACCTCAAGTTATAACCAACTCTTAGGAATGTATTGAATCCATAAGTGAAGGGCCCACTGTAATGAGATTAAAACTTGTTTCTGATCCTATGCAGAGTCTAAAATATGTGTATAGGTCACACACACATAAGGAAAAAAAAATTGTATAACTATTTTAATATTAAATTTATTGGGATCAACACAAGTTACCTTTGGCCTCCACAATTACAAGGGTGCTCAGAATGGTGGCTGTTAGCTTCCAGATATTTGTTGGTACAACGAACTGCTGAAGTGTACGTAGATTTTTTTTGCAGTCTGTATATAGTGTGGTGCTGGTATTGAACCCAGAGCCTTGTGCATGGTAGGAAAGTAGTCTGCCACTGAGCTATATTCCTAGCTCTTAATAATAGATTTGAGGCATGTGAGCTAAAGCCCACCACAGAGATCCCTACCTAGTGGTGTAGCCATGGGACTCTACTTGGAATCTGCATCCCCACACAGTGCGGGGACCTTTAGGTCATCACTTGAGTCCTAGCTGGGCCTCACCCAGCAACCTCCAGATAGTCAGGAGCCACCGAGTGTGAACTGAAGCCTGCCATAGCAGTCCTTACCCTAGCTATGCAGCTGCGGGACTTTGCTTGGAACCTGGTAGGCCCTCACCCAGTGTCCCCAAACAGTGCGGGACCTCTAGGTCATCACTCGGGTCTTCGCCCAGTGAGTTTCAGGTAACTGGGAGCCCCTGCGTGTGTTTGAGCTGAAGCCTGCCACAGCGATCCCTACCTAGTGGTGTAGTGGCGGGTCTTTGCTCAGAATCTGGTAGAGCCACATCCAGAGATCCCCCCAAAAGCCAGGGAACTTCGGTGTGCCACGCGGTGTGAGCTGAAAGCCTGCTCAGTATATTCCACATATCATTCAGCCTTACTGTGCCACACAGAACCTGCCCAGTGACCTCAAGCAGCCAGGGAGTTTTGGTGAGCCATATGGGGAGAGCTGATGGTCCACCCAGTGTGCACTCACCATCTGGGGAGCCTTTTAAGTGCCACTAGGGATCCAGGAAATATGGGAAAATGAAAAAACAAGAAAGCAAAATGTAATCTCAAACCTCCAGCCCAACCCAAACAAACCTATGAGACATAGACATAGAGCAAAGTATAGGCATACACCTTAAACTTCTGAAATGATAGCAACTGAAGTAAAGAAGTAACTGCAAGCTGTAAAGGAACTCGGATCAGAAATAATCTCCCAGGTAAAGGAAGAAATGATAAAGATAATAAAAGAAATCCTGAACACATCTAAAGAAGATATAGTGAAAAAAAATTGAGGAGTACTGCAAAAAGACGGAAACCTTGCATGAACAAATAAAAAAGCAATGGAATGCATGAAACAGATTCAGGGAGATACAGAGGAAGTCAAAAATTCCATTGAAAGCTGGCAAAACTGCCTGAATGAATGTGAAGATAGACTTTTAGACTTAGAAGACAAGATTGCAGCTAGTGAACAAGAAAGGAAAGATCTTTTAAAAATAACAAAGAATCAGGAAATAACAGTTGCAAGATGATGTGAAGAAAAATAATGTAAGATTGATAGATGTAAATGAAAAGGAAGATGATAACACAAATGATCTCAAAAGACTATTTACAGAAATAATAACAGAAAATTTCCCAAATATGGGAAAGGAAACTGACATGCAGATAAGTGAAGCATATAGAACTCCAATTAGCCATAACCAAAATAAATCTATACCCATACATATAATAATCAATATCCCAGAAATGCAATATAAGAACAGGATATTAAAACTTGTTAGAGAAAAGAGACAGATTACCTATAAAGGAAAGCCCATCAGAATTACAGCAGACTTCTCAACAGAAACAATGAAGTCAAGAGCAACATGAAGTGAAGTATTTCAAATCCTAAAGGAAAATGACTTCCAAGCCAGATTGATGTACCTGCAAAACTGTCCTTCAAAGTTGATGGAGAAATAAGATACTTCCATGGCAAAGAACAGCTGAAGAACTTCATGACCACCAAACCAACCCTGCAAAGAATACGGAAAGATATTCTAGATAGACATAAAAACAACTAAGACTCCAAGAATACCAACAGAAAAAAGCCACTAAGCAAGGCAGACAATTAAAGAGAGGAGAAAGGTAAAGAGCCAAGAGCAGAAGCACAACATGACAAAAATGAGCCAGTATATATCAATTATAACCATTAATGTAAATAGTGTCAATACACCAATTAAAAGAAACAGATTGGCAGAATGGATCAAGAAACAACATCCAGCCATGTGCTGTATACAAGAAACTCATCTAACTCAAAAGGAAATTCATAGACTGAAAGTCAAAGGATGAAAAATAATACTTAGTGCAACAGGAACCTCCCCAAAAAGCAGAGGTAGCTGTACTGTTTGCAGATCATGTGAATTTCAAACCAAGAGTGATCAGAAGAGATGAAGAAGGTCACTACATACTAGTTAAGGGAAAACTTCAAGAGGAAGAGATAACAACCCTAAATGTATATGCACCAAATATGGGAGCAACCAGCTGTATAAAACAAATATTAATAGAAATGAAAAATCAAGTAAGCAATAATACAGTTATAATAGGAGACCTTAACAATTATAATGGGAGACCTTTGACACAAAAAGACTGATTAACTAGACAGAAAATCAGCAAATAAATAACAGAATTGAATCAAACTTGTGAACAAATGGATTTAGTAGATGTGAACAGAGTGTTCCACCAAACAGCATCAGAATATACATTCTTTTCAGCAGCACATTGGACATTCTCTAAAATAGACCATATATTAGCCCACAGAACACACTTAAGTAAATGCAAAAGAATTGAAATTACCTTATGCATATTATCTGATCATAGTGCTATAAAGCTGGAAATTAGTGATAAAAGAAACTGTAAAAACTCCAAAAACACATGGAAATGAAATAATATACTCGTGAATTATCAATGGGTTATAGAAGAAATTAAGGAAGAAATAAAAAATATGTACAAGTAAACGAAAATACAAATACATCTTACTGGAACCTATAGAATGCAGTGAAAGCAGTCCTCAGAGGGAAATTTATTGACGTGGACTCCCACATCAGGAAAACAGAACGAATACAAATAACCTGGTGCTACACATCAAACATCTAGAAAAAGAAGAGCAAGTCAAGGCCAAAGCCCAAAAAGGGAAGAAAGTATGAAGATCATAGTGAAAGTCAATGCGATAGAGACTAAGAAAACAATACAAAGAATTAATGAATCAAAGAGTTGGTTCTTTGAAAGAATAAATAAAATCGATAATCCCCTAGCCAACATCATTAAAGGAAAGAAAAAACTCAGATTTGGGCAATAAGGAATGAAAAGGGCAAAATCACTATAGACCCTGTGGAAATACAGAAGATCATTAATACTTACTTAGCAAACTTTTACTCTTGTAGGTTTGATAACACAGGAAAAATGGACAGATTCCTAGAAGCATATGAATTACCAAAGCTGAATCAAGAAGGCATAAAACTGCCAAATTAAAAAAAAAAAACAGAAACTGCTGAATAACGCAATTTCAGTTAATGAAATTGAAAATGTAATTAGAAAGAAAGAAAGAAAGAAAAGTCCAGGTCCTGATGGATTCACAGCTGAA